AGAGCCAAAGTAATGCCTATAAACTGCTCTAATCGAAATGTCTTTTGACAATTAATACCATGTTACCTTTCTTCTGTATTATATAAAATAGAGAATTAATTTTTATGCGTAATGAAAAAGTCTTATTACACAACGGTTTTTAAGTGCATTTTTAACGGAATAGATATCATAGGCTTTTTGAGGAAAAATGGCAGAAAAATACCTGCATAAGAGCTATAAACAGCTTGATTTTCTAGACTTATATTAAAGATAGAATTTATGGTAAACAGACATTTTTTAAGAAACACATTTCATGACACATGAATAGATTTTACGAGATATTCAAAGCTGCCAAATCTTGATTTGTCATTATTTAACAGACAGTATGAAGTTGTTTTTTTCCTTCTCTTTACGTCGGTCTTGCTTATTTTCTTTGTTTAAAGATCATTTTCCAAAACGGGTTTCTTTTTCAGAAAAAATGTAACTTGTCGTGAAGAAAGGGTAAGTTTCCTATCAAAAAAGGTAATTTTTGTGACAAAAACGGGCAATTTTTAAGTTTAAAGAAAAAGATTGGGCAGGGCCCCTGTTAAATAGACTACAAACTGGATGGTAATACTTCTTCAAATCGTTTTCTTTAAATTGTTTCCTTCGAACTCAGTCGGTATATCAACATGGTTGGTGAGGTGCTATTTTATTGATTTGAAGTTGAATTGCACTGAATAATAGATAACACTCGTGATTTTTTTGTTCTCGTGTTTTTTGACTACACTGAAGAATAAGAATATTTGAGTACTCCATTCCATGACAATTTATAAAAAAATTCCAGTGCTGAAAATTTTGTAATATACTCAAGTAAAAAAGTCTTTTGGGGAAGGATAGTTTTAATCTAATCTGTGAAGCGCTCAACAAAGCCAATCCAATGGAAAATGAAATTATTTACAATTCAAAGAAAATAATTTTTTCAATGTTACCCCTTTTCATCTTTTCATCATACAGGTTTTTCTCGCGTGCAAACAACATTCGTGACTTGTAGGATGTGTAATACCATAGAAACATGCTATTTGTGTAATGATTGTATGGAACTTTCACTAATGACCTCGTTAATGAGGTGTTTTGTTTTTAATGCTCTTTGTGCTATTTGAAAGAAACGTGCAATAATAGAGTGGCTAGGAAAATCTGGTGAATTTTCTCACGCAATAAAAATTTCTTTCTAACGTAAAAAGGACAATCAATTTGAAGTTATATATACATATATATTTTAATTATTTAATAAGTAGAAATATAACTAGAAATAGCTCTTGCTAGTACTGCCCGCAAACAATTAGTTCCTTGATAATGATTGTTTTGAAAATTTAGGTCAGGATATTCGAAGAAGACACCATCTTGGGTTTTCACAATTTTATAAAAACAGCTGCTCTAGTTGATGCTAAACTATTCTTTTTATCAAGAATTTTTGGTGTTCAGTTTGCCTTTGATTTAAGTCCAACGCCCTTTTGAAAATCATGAAGTTTTTCTAGGGTTTGACATTTATTTTTCGTTTTCGTGAAGCAAAGACGTATGAAAATGGACACGTGATAGAACGGGTACAACTAAAATAGATTGCGATAGATGATTCGTACAGCGATGTACAGGCGATAATCACGACAATCATAACTTTTGCTCGTACGGTGTCTAGTTTTTGGGAGAAAGGTGTGGCATTCGACTGGTTTTGATTCCCAAAACTTCGAATCAAAACTTCCATCCATTGCGGAGAACCGAGCTGTGATGCAGCACCGTTTTCGTGCAAAAAAAACCGAAGGCCTTTAACAGAGTCTTGGCAGAGCAACGCTCCGAAGATAATTCCCTTCCGCACAAAGAGGTGGCGGTTAACGACCTCCTCGACAAAGCCGATTGATTGACAATAAAATTGATTGACAGTTGTCATGGCAGCAGAAAAGTGACAAAATCTGCTGAAAAAGTGCTGACATTATGAACTGAAGCTTCCATATGCTACTTATACGCGGGGCAGACTATAAGCCCTTCACTCGCGCGCTATCGCGCGCGAGTTGCGGGCAATAAACTGAAAAGTTATCAAGATATAACTGTAGCCTAATGAACTGGCTCATATGAAGTCCTTCTAACATCAGTGTAATGCCACGGAATTTCGCCTTGTGGAGATACAGAAACGTCGGCCATCAAAGTACGAAATTTCTCTGCTGTTTTTGGGTAGTCGTTCGACCCCATTTGAGTATTATCAGCCAGGGCACCAGCTTCTGAAACTTCGGATCTCCAAATCCCCTTATGAACGATTCCATGGCTGTCATCGTAGTCAACATACCGAACAGGGCAATATAGGCGTCGGGATGATTTCTGGGAATCATCATGCTTTTTTAGCCAGTTATGGGGGAGTACATTCTTTGCTGCTTTGTCTGGCTGGGCCTGTATTGGGGCTCTCAAAAACCTCCATCTGCCAGATAAAATGCCAAACGCATTTTCAACTACTCGTCTTGCCCGATATAATCGGTAGTTAAATATTCGAAGCTTTTCTGTTAAGTTTTTCCCAGGATAAGGCCGTTGAATTGTTTCTTTTAGAGGAAAAGCTTTATCAGGTACAAAGCAGAATCTTGCCCTTGTTCCTGTATTTGGCAGGAAATCATCAGTAGGGATATTAAGATTTCCATTATTCAGTGCATCACCAAACGAAGAGTTATTAAAAACACTAGAGTAATTTTGCCTCCCGTAGTCAACATACCTACCTTTTGAAAAAGGAGTAGTGTGAATGGGCCCAGGCCGACCTCCACTTGGGCGCGCGTACGGAAGATTTAGGAAACCGAAACCACGTACGTACGTTCAACTGGAGATGACTACCAGAATCATGAGAACAGCTTTGCAATCCCGCGAAAATTTGCAAACAAACATGGCAGTTGTAAATCTGTGAAGAAAGTTGTTGTTAGAAAGTAAAGAATTAGAACGTCTTTTCTATCCGAAACTAGCCAGATACAACTAGAACTTTTAACAACATCGTTAGGACATAAATTTGACGTCATAGCTTCATCAGTAACATGGATAACAGAAAGAAACGAATCAACGATTAATAATCTGTCTTTTCCAGGTTGCCAAAAATATCATGGAACACTGGGGAATAACTAAAAAAGTTAGAACACTATGGAATCAGAGGAATGGCTCTCTCGTGGCTTAAATCATACTTATATAAACGAAAACAAGTAGTTTCTGTAAATGGTGAAACTTCAACTGAACGTGAAATAAAATATGGTGTTCCACAAGGAAGTGTGCTTGAACCCCTGTTATTCCTGCTTTACATCAATGACATGTACAACTCTTCCAAAGAGCTAAATTTTCGTCTGTTTGCTGATGACACCAGTATTTTATTTGCTAACAAAAATCTTGATTTCATGGAACAAACTGTGAATTCTTAACTGACAAAAGTATCAGAATGGCTATTAGCTAATAAGCTATCATCAAACGTATCTAAATCTAATTTTCTTCTGATCAGTCCAAGAAAAGTACCCAAAACTATCAACTTAAAAATGACGATGAAAAACTTAAGCAGGAAAATTATACAAAATATCTTGGAATTATGATAGATGAAAAGCTAAATTGGAAACAGCATGTAAAACATGTAAATATTAAAATATCTAGGGTGTTGGAGTTCTGTATAAACTAAGGCATTTTGTGCCAAAAACTACTTTAAGAACACTTTATAACTCATTCATTCAATCCCATGCAATGTATGGCATATTAAATTGGGGGTGCGCAAACAAATCAACTTTAGAAACCCTAAAATGCAGCTTACGAAAAGCTGTTAGAGTAGCTGACTTTGCACCGTACACCGCACTTAGCGACCCAATCTTTAAACGTTTGAAACTTTTGAATTTCGATAATCTCTACAAGCTTGAAACAGGAAAATTCATGTTCCACATAAATAAAGATGCTAGTTCCTCTACTTTAGGAGCGGAATCTTCATCATTACAATACTAGACAATCTTCTAGCCTTGGTTTTTTTTCTTCAATCGATTTCTACAAATTTTAAAAAAAAACTACCTTACATTTGATGGTGTAAAATTATGTAATTCTCTGCCTCTAGACTTGAAAACTGCTGCCACTAAGCAATCTTTCAAAAGAAACATGAAAAATTACCTTCTAGAGAACCTTTAGTCCTATTTATTTCCATTCTAACACAATTGCACTATTTGTGCATATTGTAAACCATTATTATTTTATTTCGGTTTTTTTAATTGTTATCTTTTTATTCTTACTGTTATTATTCAAACAAAACTAATTTTAAATTTTCGTCATTTGGCGTCAAATTGGGCACATGGCTCTGATAGCTCCTTCATGAGTTTTTTCCATGTGTCCATCAGCTGATCTTATAAATATCTCATGTTGTTCCCTGTAATGTAATCTTTATTGCTATTAATGATTGACTTGATTGTATCTTAACAACTAGCATGACGTATCTTGCAATTAATTGATTTGTTGCTGAAAAAAAGTTTTGATTTGATTTGATTTAGCCAGAAAGGGACGGTATTGCGTCAGGAAAATTTACCAGCAACGAAAGGTTAAAGGTGAATACAATTTGCTTATTCGACAAGCACAAGAGTCGGATACCGAATTATTTTGAATCATGTTTTGAATGTCAGCTTCAAATTTTGAAGAATTATTAAAATATGTTGCTCCTCATTTGATTCGGAAATCAATAAAAAAGGGAAACAATTCAGCCTCCTGAAGTGTGTGTGTGTTACATTGCGTTTCCTTGAAACGGGTGATGCATTCAACACTACCGCTGCCACCTATCGTACGAGCGGAAGTTTTCAGTCAATCTGATTGGATAAATGTCAGTGAACAATAAGCGGCCGCTCTGAACAATAAGCGGATAGAAATGACGCTCTATTTCTATCTGAAAAATAAGACAATAGATATCTATTTTGTGGTCATACCATAGAGATTATCTCTATGAATAAGACTGTCATACCACAGAATAAATATATATTCTGTCATGTGCAGAAAACTGTCACGGACGGCCGCCTGATCTGTCAACGTGATTCTCAACGCCGACCTTGGCCGCGCGTACTGCGCGATTAAGTTGGCGCATGCTCAAAGTCTTCTTAGTGAAAAGAAGCTTGTGTTTCATCATTTTCTAGAAAGAGGAGGGGACGGCTGTCTGAAACAAGCCACTTGCAACAGTGAGTATTGATTCTTGTTCGTCTTGTCTAGCACGTTTCGATTCTTCAACAAAGTTATGAAAATCACGCATGATTTCTTTTTCTGGTGGTTCTATTGGACACGATACAAACTGTTTTTATTGTTGTTGTTTAGCCTAAACTTTCGGAACCTTTCTGTCCGGCCTGTTCATATGTAAGTATGGTAAAGTTTTTCTAGCCAAAGAATTGTGGCACTTGAACTTTCTCCTTTTTATCAGAGGTCAGTTCAAAAGAGATTTGACCAGAAAGATTTCACTGCGTTTCTTCCTTCTTGTCTAAAAACAAGCGTGTATTTTCATTTTCTTAAAAAAGATGCCATGCTTTGCACAAAGACCAGCCAGGATGCAATCCGATGCTAACTTATTCCAAAGCATAATTGTTGTGGAAGGAACTTACGGATTTTGTCCAACAAAATATGGATTTGCCCACCCTTGTTTTGAGACTTCGTAAAGTTCTGTACTGTTGCCCTTAGGCTCTCTCAGTTCAGTTTTATTTTCAGTTCAATTTATGCTCGTTGGGTTCGGTTAATTCTATTTTCAATTTTGATAATACCTCTTTAGAAAAGTTTTAATCGTATAATAGAGAAATTTTTCAGGAACTTCTATGTTCACATTTGGTTTTTTGTTAACATTCAATATACCCCACTGCGTCAGAGATTTTGATTTTTCGGCAGTATATTGCAATGTGTTTGTTTGCGGTTTTGGTCAGCGCTTCTTAAGCCGAAAACCCTTTCCGGAAAATGATCCGAGGATCGTTTTCCCATTCGTCATGTGATTTAGCCCTAAGCAAACAAGCAAACTAAGTCACGCCATTTTCATCATACCATTTTCATCTCTTGATTTCTCAAGATTTTGCGCTAAAGCTTCCAAGCTACACAAAGGTCAACGTTGAGTACACTCATTGTTTCTTTAGATATTCTTTATAGCGTCATTGATTTTAACATTAGGTTCCTATTTTCAATTTTTCACCACTATAAATGACCATTTAATAGGCAAAATCAATTGACTATGTTGAGAATCAGGGTAGATATGCCCCAGCTAAAAGATAACTATTATTTTGACCTGTTTTATAACTTTATTAACAGAGATCAAATTACAGTGTTTTAATTGGGAGAACCCGTGCTTATGTGGTCATATCTTAGGGCACTGAGTCATGATAAACGGAGAGATTATAATATAGTGAGCCAATTTTTTACTGACCAGGGACAGATTTAGCAGGGGCAGGAATGTAGGGGTATGACCTTAATATTCCTGTGCCCCCCAATATTCCTGTGTCTTCTGTAAATTTTGCTTTCAATTGGTAAAAATAATTTATTGGTAGTCCGTATCAGTTTAAAAACCGAATTCTGAAAATGGGCGTTTAATGTTTTGGAGGGTGTGGCTCCAAATTCCAATTATTATCTGACATCCCCAAACCTTGTTACTTAAATAGGTCCCTGTTACTGAGTCATGATTTTTGTTTTGTAATGCTATTGGTCACCTGATCACATCTGTTCCAACTGATCACATGAACTCGTCTTTTACTGATTTACAAGACCTTCTGTCAATACCAAAGTATCAGCAACATTTGCTGATATCATATAAAACAACATCATTTTACCCAGACTTTCACCCAGAGTAAGGAGAGTCGCCAGCTCTCTGTAATTCCAGGCATAGGAATCACAAGTTGTGGTCACATCGAGAGGAAGGACCAGGACACTGCTCGATAAGCATAAGCTTCTCAGTGTCCTAAAAACTACCTTCGGATGCTAGGTAGAAACAAATACAGGAAATCATCATTTACCCTGAAAGCAGCAAAATCAAAACCCTAAAGTTGACAACAAACTCTAGACTCTAAATTTTTGAAAATACACTCATTTTTTAAGAACACAATTTATATGGAAACCAAGGCTTTATGTGCCAACACAATTGAGAACAATGTAAAACATGCCTAAGGTCAGATGAAAAATTTGGAAAAAGAACCCCTTTTGAAACTATTTTCTTTTGTTAGCAAAACCTAGCAGATTTTATCAGCAAGTCAACTGTAATACAAAAAGTGTCATGCAAAACTGTTATTCAGTTCTCATAGAAACCATTTATAGAACCTTGTTGAAGAAAAGTTAGTAATGAAATAAGAACAATATAAAGAGTGCCTGAGCTGAATGTTAAGAGCTCAGTATTGAGTTGAAGACACTTGGATTACTTCCTCAATGTATTTTGCAGCTTGTAAGTACTGTATTCTCAACAGCAAAACTACTTACCTGGAAGCTCTGGATAGTAACATAAAATGGAAGTGGCCCAAGGACTGAGCTTCGAGATGCATGAGAAAGTGTGCCCTTACAGCTATAGCCCCCCCCCCAATAATTTGCAAAATGTACTGAAAACCATACAAAAAAATTGCTCTGCTCTTGGTTTTTAGCATGTCTAGCCCCCTTGCTTAAAAAAACTTTTAAGCCCCCTCAATCTGTTATATGCTCTGCAGTCCCCTTAACCGTAGCTTCTTCCATCCCAGTGCCATCAGAATTACGAGGGGGGTCTTGGGGCCGTAGCTTGCATATCTTCACTTCTTTTTCCCAATCCCCTATTTGCTTGAGCAAGTTTCAAGCTCATTTAGAGAAATATTTTCAAGTGGTGTCTTTGAATGGCATTTGGATGAGCATTTGTTTTGTTCGCTTTGCTCCACTTAATGCTTTTTATATAATTTCTTAAATTTCTAAAGTTTTATATCTAATTCTTTCAAAAATTTTATCTTTTATTGTTTTCTTACTTTCTTAAAATGCTATGGTGTAAGGAAAAAATTAGAGCAGAGTATATTGATTCAAAACTTGGATACACCGTGGGGCAATTCACTCTTGCAAATAGCGTACGAGATTTTCCCTAAAACAAAAGGATTTCTGGGAATTTTCAGTTAAAACAATAGGATTTTCACGAAGGGGGTACGAGATTTTCTTGGAGTGATTTGCCCCTAGGGATACACCAGGGGCACAACCTCCAACTTTTGGGAAAATTTCTCTTATCTAAGAGGTGACTTCTTTAGGACTTTTGGAAAAGTGCCCCTTTTCTGAGACATAGTGCCCTGTGTCCCTCTAATTTTAAAATACTTCCTACATACCTGCCAAAGTATCATTGCAAAATTCCTAGAATCTGGTGGATTCCTTCTAACCAGTAAATCTTCCTTCTGGCAGATTGAAACTTTCTAGACATCCTTTTTGTAGCAATAGATGTGAAAAAATGAAAAATTATGGCATTTTCAGGACTTTTTAATTCTTACTGTCTGTGGTGTGGTCAGTAAGAAGTCTTGGATTGAGCCTGGTAAAGCTACACCTATGTTTTTCTGCAACTACATTGATCGAAAGTGGGTTAAAATGTATTGGGCTTTGTGCTGTTTTAATGAGAGTTGATCCAGATAGGAGGGTTGCTTTTAAAAACATTGTTTGTCCTTTTTAACAAGCAAGCTTGCATAATTGGATGTAGATTTAGCAGAATGTTAACTTTCTTTTAGGTGCAGAGTTAGTGAAAAGTTGCCATATCCTGCATCTGATTTCTAAAAAAAGAAAATGAGCAATTTTGAGAAGTATGACTCAACATCAGCCCATTATGATGATGGTAGGGTCCCAGCTGGTGCTTCTGTCTATGCAGCAGTAATACAGAACTATCTTAATAAGCCTTTAAATGAGGTATGTTAATCAACATTGAATGTTAATATTCTTTTGATTTATCAATAATTACAGAAACATTACTGTCTCCTATTCTTGCCCTGCTCTGGCTACATCTCTGCTTCAATCATTTTTTGCATCTTTTTCTTAATATTATATGTTTTATGTGGTTTCAAACCCTTGTTTATTGTTGTTTTTCATCTAACATCTTAGTTGCAAAACTTTTCTCAATGTAGATACACCTACTCGATGCGGGATGTGGCACTGGAAACTACTCCAAAGCTTTTCTTGACAATGGAATCGGCAAAGTTTCATGCTTTGATGCCAGCGAAGGAATGCTGTCAAAAGCGAAAAACAAATTGTCAGACTACATTGCTACGAAAAATGTTATTCAAATCAAGCAAGGGTTTCTGCCTAAGATACCCTATGAAGATAATTGTTATGATGCGGTCATATTTATGCAAGTGTTGCACCATATTGACACCCTGGAAAGCAACTTTGCCAATCTGAAGGCTACCATGAAAGATGCATATCGAGTTCTCAAACCAGGAGGAGTCCTGATGATAAATTTCTGCACAGGCGACCAGGTAAAGTCCTGTTTTTCCCTGCCCAATTCATTGACGTATTCCCAAAGATTCTTTCTGTTATGTATAATTCAAGGGTTGTAATTTTCTCTGGCATGATCTTCAAAACTGCATTGCATGCAAGTAAGTAAGCCAAAGTTTAGTATACCTTTTTAAATACACTACAGGCTATCAAAAGTATTACACCACCTTGTTCAAAATGGCGGCACTTTTTGCAAACTTTTTGGCAGTACAAAACATTTGAATGCAAGAACTGGGTGAAATAGGCGTATTTTGTAGCAAATTTCGGCGGGAAAAAGCTGCAAAATTTGCTGACGCCATAGAAAACTTAGTTAGAAATGTTTAAATTACGCAAAGACATTTTGCTTTGTAAAAATGTAGACCATGCCTAAGGAAGCAAAATTGTTAAATGAGAGGCGAGTCGCTATAAAATATTTACGGAGAAGTGGTCTTCAGTTTTAAAAAATATGTTGACCAAGTTAGATGCAGCTACACAATAGCGGCGGGAAATTAAAAAACATTCCCCAAGAATGTTACAGTAGTAAAGAAACCAAGAAGTGGGCGACCAAAAGTAAATTGATGTTAGAGGGGAACGAACTTATCGGTTTTATTTCATTGCGTTTACACCTAGGGGCAGTAAAGGAAATGAAACTCGATACTGGGCAAGGTTTTGCAGCTCAAAATCTGTCCACAGAAATATAATGAGTGATTTGAACAAACACAAAAGAAAAATTTACCTGAGTAAAGGGAAACCATTTTTACAAAGAACTAGGGTCGCGTCGCCCTGATTGAGTATGTACCTGGAAACGTGACATTTACATCGCCTCAACTATTGCAAAAAAATTGGGAAATTGGGGCTAAGCTGCGACAAAAAACGCGCGAAATCATGTGTTTACGCCATTTATCAAAGTGTATGATGAACGAATAATTAGACAAGAAAATAACTCACCTGAAAAGAAGAAGTATATGTATACATTTTGCGTAGGGTGTTTTCGGTACTCTTTTTACATAATTTTTTTTTAAAGGGACGAGCATATTTTAGCTGCTAACCTAGCAATTTTAGGCACACATCATGCATGAGGAATAAGGATCTTTGCACAAATCGCTCAGTTTTCAATTTGTTTTGCCACAGAGAGGAGTGAAACAAAGCTGACTGACTTGGCCTAAGTTCGCCCTGATTGGGTACTAATGTAAACGGCTGTTTTAGTTCTGCAGTTGTTTCGCATTAATTCTCAAAACCAAACCTGTAAATTTCAAATTGTCAAATATCTTTAAACAAAAATACTCTAGAGCAAATCAGGGCGACGCCAGAAATTTAGGCCGTCAAGACAACTAAGAAGTATCGCAGCTTTTTCAAGAAACTTTGTAAAACAATTTACCTGATCTTTTGAAATATATATCTGAAGAGCCTGAAGGATTTTGTCAGTGCTAAGTTTTATGTCCAAGTCTACGCAAAATAGAAATTTTCTAATTTGTATCTAGGTATACTCAATCAGGGCGACGTGACCCTATTTCCAAACAAAAGAAATTAAAGCTTTGACACAGTCTGAGAAAAGTCCAATCTTTAACATCGCTAAAAAAGTTTGACTTCAAATGAAAAATGTTACAAACCGCGATCCAAATGGTCGTTTAAAAGCCAGAGAATCATTAATTGTAAGAATTTTCCAGGCCTATTGCAAAATTCCACAAGAATACGTTGACCAAATATGTGGATCCATTTCAAGGAGGCTTTTTGTGGTTTCAATAGTTTGCGGCTACCTTCAATCTTCAATCTTCAATAGTTAACTCCTAAAGGCTTTACAACCAATCTGGAGTAAAATAAACAAAAAAAACAAAAAAACAAAAAAAAATTTTTAAATTTTGGAAAAGGAAAATTAACTTAGGAGTAGGATTAATACCATTTCCACCCAGCGCTCCAGCTTGTTATTTCTACAAAATGTTGCATTTGGTTTTGGTTCAACAAATCCAAGCAAAGGTTGGCTATTGCCAGAGTGGAAGCGGTGTTAATCATAAACTAGGGATAACAAAGGCTAACAAAAGAGTAAAAATTGTCTCGAATAAGTCTATACTAGGGTCCATGTGTTGGTGGAGGCCACCTTTACCCACTGGCGTGGACGCAACCATTCTGTCACTGATACTTTGAATTTTTCTTCTCTCACGCAATTCATAATTTCTGGCGGTAGGCTATTCCAAATCCGAATTGTTCTTACGAAGAATTGATTTTTGAAAGCTTCAGAGTGGAGGCATTGGATTGTTTGATATTTGAGCGGATTTCTGGTTGAGGAAAGGACAATTTCTGGAAACGAGATGTTGAGCATGTTGTTTCGAATTTTATTGAAGATTTGAAGGTCATGGATGCAGTGTTGGTGTTGTAGTGGTAGCCAGTTTAATGATTTCATTTTCTGTGTCAACTGAGCGTCTGTGCCATAAACGTGATAATCTAATGTAAACCTAGCAGCTCGTCTCTGGACAGCTTCAATTTTGTTAATGTTCTTCTTTTTATGTGGACTCCAACATGCTGATGCGTAATTTAGGTGGGGACGGACAATTGCATTGTATGCTGTAGCTTTAACATCTGGGGGACACATGTACAAGTTTCGGCGACATAGGTTTAACAATTTTGTGGCTTTGTTTGAGATGTAATTTACGTGCTCATTAAAATTTAGCTTATTATCTATAATCACTCCAGGGAAACGTTCAGACGTAGTCTCCTCCAAGCTGTACAAATTTAATTTAGATTTATTTCCATCATCAAATATCGATTTGGCTGATTTAAAAACTTCGTCAGAAGCATCGTTTTCCTGTGAGGCTGATGACTGGAACATTTTGTACTCGAAGTTGATTTTTTTAGTTTTTTTATGGCTAATACGGAGCATTTTGCACTTTTTTACGTTAAAAGCCATCTGCCAGGTGATGGCCCATTGTTGTAATTTAAAAAGGTCTTTTTGTAGGAGGTGCGCATCTTCTTTCGATTTGATGGACTTATATAAAGTACAATCATCAGCAAAAATACGTATTGTGTTATGGAGGGCTTTCCCAATATCGTTGATATACATCAAGAACAACAGAGGGCCCAGAACAGTACCCTGAGGCACTCCAGAAGATACCTTGCCAATACTATAAGTTGTACCATTTACAACAACTTCCTGAGTTCGGCCAGTTAGGAATTCACCTATCCATTTGGAAGTTAGATCTGAGATGCCATACATTTCAAGTTTGCATAAAAGGCGGCGATGTGGGACAACGTCAAATGCTTTGCTGAAATCAAGCAGGAGAACACCCACTTGGCCACTGCCCTGATTTAATGTGGATGTCCAGTCATTCATAGCCTCTATTAGCTGTGTTTCGCATGACATCCCTGACCGAAAACCATGCTGTTTATTTGTAATAATGTTATATTCATTAAGATGAGACCATATCTTGGATACAATGCAGTGTTCGATGAGTTTACAGGGGATGGCTGTTAAGGATATCGGTCTGTAGTTGGCTGGAAGGCTTTTTGATGCTTTTTTGTACACAGGACAAACAACTGCATGCTTCCATGCAGAAGGAAGATTTCCCTTGTTGTAGGACTGGGTAAACAGATGGTGATATAATCTTCCTGTCTCAGTTGCTGTCTGTTTTAAGTATCTAGCTGGGAGTTTGTCTGGACCAGAAGCTTTGCCTGGATTGATACCCGAAAATAATTTTATTACACCTTCAAGACCAAATATGATGTTTTCCATACTGGGGTATTTTGGTGATTGTTGGGGTATATTGTTTATGTTTTCATTGGTGAAAACAGACATAAATTGTTCGTTCAAGGCGTTTGCCTTTTGGAGATCTGTTGATGCTGGGGTTTTGGAAGTAGTTGATAGTGTTGAAATGCCTGTATTTTCTTTTCTCAAGCTTTTTATGTATGACCAGAATGTTTTAGGGTTGTCTTTCAGGCTTGCACCAACTACATCTTTTATGTAAACTTTATGGCTATTGCGAATTTCCTTTTTTACTTCTTGCCGAAATTTCCTGAACTTTTCCCAATTTCCTGCACTCTTTGTCTGTTTATATTTGACATAGAGTTTTTCACGTTTACGCATCATGGTTTTAATGTGCCTGTTAATCCATGGCTGGGTGCTTTTTGATTTACTTCTTTTACTTGGGATGTTATGATGGTTTCGATACCCTGCTGTATGAACATGCTATCTTCATCAACTGATAAGGTATCTGGATTCCTGTCAAAGTATTCCTTGGTTAGGTTTACTGATAGTTCCCCTATTTTATCCCAATCTGCTTTATTATACTTGAATATTTTTCTTGCGGGTTTCTTTATTGATTGAGGTCAAAGTTGCTGATGACTAAAATGTGATCTGATATTCCAGGATGAACTGATACTTGATTTACTGAGCCTGGGTTGTTGGTTAATATCAGGTCTAGGGTTTTACCTGACACTGGGCGAGTTACCTCTTGGACGTGTTGACTCAAACCAAAATCATTTATGACATTTAAGAATGATTCACAATGATTTTTATCGTGGCCTGGTATTGTACAGTCATTTGCCCAGTCTATGCATGTAAGATTTATGTCACCACCGATGATAATGTAAGAATTTTTTAACCTTTTCACTACTGAGGCAAGAATTTCACGAAACTTTTCGATAATATTTAGTGAAGAATTTGGTGGGCGATAAAAGGATGCCACATTCAAAAGTTTACTCCCTCGAAGTTTGAGTTGTACCCATTTAATTATTGCATTTAATAATTATTACCCGTCAAAATATTGAAATTTGAGACTGTTAAAAGACGTTTGCTTCTGTTATTTTTTAAATAAATGCCCTAAATATATTAAAGTTTTGATTGGTGGTTGTTTTGTTTTCGACCAATTGCAATTGGCCCCCAAAAAACAGAATTAGTTTGCATAACAATAGCTTTCGATCATTCACGCGCCATTTCTCCTCCTTCGAGGTGGTGCAATACTTTTGATACCCTAGTGTTTATAATCAAAGTTTGTACACTTACGTTCAAAAAGTATTGGGACACACTTCGAAATTTCGAAGACATTTTATTGCAACAAACTTGGAAAGACTTTTTTAAATCTTTCTCATTAAATAAGTACAGCAGCTATTTCCATGAAACTTTCACAATACATTGTTGATGTTTCGAAGTATTTTATTTACGCTAAACAATTAAAAAAACGTCGACCATAAATATGGCGCGCATATACCGCCAAAAATAGCTCTTTTTAAAATTTCAGCAACTTTCTAAAAGTTAAGTGATCTTCTAAAAGTTCAGTTGCTCTGTCTAGTCTTAAAATTTCAGTCATTTCCAAAGTTTCAACCACCGTTCAACATTTTCTAAAATTTCAATTACTTAAGCAACGTTTCTAAAATTCAAATCGCTTGCTCTGCGAGATTTCTAAAATTTCAGTCATGCTAGGTTAGTTCTAATATTGCAACCATTTCTAAAGTTTGAGCCCCCGCTCAACATTTTCTAAAATTTCAATCACTCTAAAGTTTCAGTGGCTTTTCCAAAATTTCAATGGTGAATGTTGATAGCCTCTTCCTGAACTTTGCCAAGCAGCCTCCTTTTGTGCTCCAGCATAAAGGAAAGTTTTACAGACAACAGGATTTCGGAAAGTCATGGCGGAAGCTTCTCTGCTACAACGATGGTCCGCTTCTGATTTGCTTTGTGACATGATCAGAAGAATAAGAATTGATTGCGAAAGATCAACTTTTTGAGAGGTACGGGCCTGAAATTCATCGGAAACTCCACAAATGTTGTTGCGGACGTATTTTAAAGCTTTTTAGGTTGTTTCGACCCAAAATAAATTTTCTAGAAATTTCTCATTTTTTGAGTTTTTTTGCATATCCGGGGTCATCGATTTTTTAAAGGAATAATGCCAGCCATGCTGCCACCTGCACTTACTTTCTCGGGGAAATGGTGGAAAAGGAGGCTGCTTGGCAAAGTTCAGGAATATCAACATTCACCATTGAAATTGTGGAAAAGCCACTGAAACTTTAGAGTGATTGAAATTTTAGAAAATGTTGAGCGGGGGTTCAAACTTAAGAAATGGTTGCAATATTAGAACTAACCTAGCATGACTGAAATTTTAGAAATCTCGCAGAGCAAGCGATTGGAATTTTAGAAACGTTGCTTAAGTAATTGAAATTTTAGAAAATGTTGAACGGTGGTTGAAACTTTGGAAATGACTGAAATTTTAAGACTAGACAGAGCAACTGAGCTTTTAGAAGATCACTAAACTTTTAGAAAGTTGGTGAAATTTTAGAAAGAGCTATTTTTGGCGGCATATGCGCGCCATACATAAAATTTCTATAGGCCTTGAGTACCAAGGGATGGCAGACCGAAGAAGTTTACGACGCCGTGGGACAAAAGGTCTTTACTGAGGGAACTGCAAAGTAATAGGTTGGAATCCTTACTAGAAATTATGTTGCCATGTAAAAAGAAACTAAATATTGGAACATAAGCAAAAACATGGCTATAAAAATCATAAACAAATACCAATTTTCCAGCTTAATAGGAAGAAAATGCTCTCTCATAACAAAAATTAAACATCGCCGACGAATACAATGGCTTCTCCTTGAATGTTACACAGTTTTAAAAGTGACTCGAGTAAATGCAATAATTTGATAAAATTGTAGCATTTTCGTTGATGTAGCAAACTTTATTTGAAGCTTAAAATTTTGATTTTGTAATTTCTTTTATAAATTTCTTTGTTATGCAAACGTAAAATTAAAAAGCTGAATTTGTTTGGACATCTCTAAAATTATGTGAAGGTCATGTGACTTTGCCGTTATTAGGCCATTCAACCCTTCTGCATATTTTGTGGTTATATTCAGGAAAATCTTAAGAATCCTATGTTTTCAAGGTTACACTTTTTAAGTTGAAGCATTTTCTTAACTTGTTATTCCACTTTGGGGATACGTAGGCCTAGATTATTTAGAGAAAGACTGCCCAAATCTGAAAAGTTTCCGTTGCAAAACCGAATCCAACGCAACGCCATAATTCGTTTATCGTCTGGGCACATGCATGGGTTATAAAAGATTTGATTGTTAATTTCTGGTCATTTTTATCGAGGCTCATTATGAGGTGGAGAACAAAAATCATTGGCCAAGGAAGAAAAGATCGCAAGTGTGCGGGGGAAAACATTTAGTCGCCAGCGACAAAAATCGCGCTAGGCTTTTACAAATATGGTATAATTTCCTAGTTCCAGATGCTGTTTTGACTGAGTTCCATCCGTGTTACAAACAAAAAGTTCATTGCTCTGAACAAACGCTCTGATGAAGCCCCGTATGCCGGGGCGAAATATTAGTCTTTACTGATTTACGTTTATTTATTGTTGTTTATTCTTGGCGTATTGCGGTGTTTCATATTTGCTACTAAAAAGTTTATTGTTTCAATTCGTTCACTTCCGAGGCACAAAACGTTTACTTCCGAGTTCTATGATTGACTGCTGTTGTCCTCCACAGCGTCTGCGAAATCGTTTCCAAACCACGACAGAGAAGAAACTGGCAATTCACTTTTGAAGAGATTGTGTTATAGATCGCAATCTATCTCAATTACGCTGGCTCGAATCATATATACTTCTCCACGAACCAAGAAATCTCTTCAAAGAAAACTCAAACGTACACCTTGTCTCATCATTTCTCAGTTTTTCTACACGTCTTTCCTCAACACATTTTACGCTAACACTGCCCTACTGTACTTTTATGAACTCAATTTACATTAATCAGCTAATCAACATGTCAAATCAGGGAACCTATATTTGCTTATACCGATACAAAGGTCTTACGTAGGTTTTAAATACATCACGAATATCAGTTTCGTTTACCTTGTTCACATACACATTAACACAGGAGACAAGTACGTAAATATAATATCATAACAAAACAAATTAAGCTACTTCGAGTCCTCAAGTGAATAAAGCAATATATAATTAATAGAGAACATCCTGTTGTCTTTAAAAAGCAATATATCTAAGAATATAACATAACTAAATGGTTGCTATGCGCGCTGTAGAATCCTCCACAGATTGTGATAAAACTTAGAATTTTTAGGTTTCAATTTTTTAATTTAAATATTACTTGTTTCATGCAACACTATTTTTAGCTGTATGTTTGAAAACTGACTGAGTTCTGTGCACCAAGGAACTCACTCTGGATCCGCCTCTGCAAATATTCAAGTCTATCGTGATGTTGCCGAAATTTACTGTGATAATTCCGAAAATTGCTCAAATGAACATGTCAGCTACTCATGGAATGAGGTCAAAGTTTCAAAATTCCAGAAGGCCAAAGTTTCTGTGATGAAATTGTACCTCGAAGGCATTGAAAGAGTTGTCATAAAAAACGGCTTATCATTTGTCACTTTACCCAAAACACAGGGCCAATAACGGCTACCTTGGTACTCCGACGCCCACATCTTGTGATCTAAATCTATGGTGACGTGTTTATAAAAGCTGTTACAAACATTTTTGTTTAGATTTTGGGAAGTCTGACAAAGCCTTCAAAGCGTCGAGACTGTTCATTATAAAGTTTGATTGGTGTAAAGTAAAGAAGGTCCCCTAATGGCTTCACAAAGAAAAATGGTTTAAATTTTGATTTTTGATTTCCTGTTGTTTACAATTCTGTCGCCATTACTCATTTGTTAAGCCTGTGCATTACTTCGCCTTCTAAGTGTAATTGCCAGTTAATATTTGTTGCCTTCTCTAGGATAAGGTCTGCGACTGTATTTTAAAATTATGAAACAGGTGTTGCTGTTGAGGGGGGCTTTCTTGAAAATGATATCTAGATACGTCACGAAGCGTTTCTATTTTCTCTGTCAATATTTTTTTAAGGTTTTAAGTTAGGGGAATATCTATTACTTATTTAATTTGTATTATTTAATTTGTGCTGCAATTTTCCATCACCACACGTCTTTATGGTGTTCTAGCTCACTTTGTTTTTATTTTGAGGTGTTGTATGGGGCCTGGTTTGTCAATTTGATCCCAAGAAGTGCAGCTATTTATAGAAAGAGGTACATGCCACAGGAAGATTTGCTTGATTGCTTAGAAAGTATTGGTTTCGAGAGTCCAACAACAGTCACCCGCCCAAATGACACCATCTTAACGAAGGAGAAATATTTTCGCAAAGATGGTCCTCTGGATCCCGAATGGAGACAGATGGATTCCATTTGGAGAAATGCTGAAATCGAGAATGAAGTCGAAGAAGCAACGAAGGCGTTGCAAGAAAAATTTGACAACAACACCTTTGATGCTTGGTTTGCTGAAGTAGAGAAAAAGAGAAAGTCGATTGGAATCACCACTAGCATTTTTGTCCAAAAGCCCAGTGCATAGGCCTAGACAAACAAATTTTTTTTTAAATTAAAATGAGAGGGATATTTTTAATATATGTTAACAATTTTGAATTGATGAATTCGGGCTGTAATTAAATTGTTTTTACACACTGTCATTCTTTGTTTACAACCACGTTTGTTCTTTATTTGTTTACTACTGCTTTTCCTCCGACCTCCTGCCTGTTGTGTGGTTCGAAAGTCTTGTCTCATACATGCCATTTCCTCAATAGAACGAAAAAAGGAGGGAGGGGCTATATTTGGAAATAGGGGGGGGGACTTATAGCTGAAGATTTGACTTGTAGCTGGTGCATCATAAAAAATCTTGAGGGTCTTTGATTTGGAACACATGGCCTAAAAGAGGATCATTATGAAATAACTTTAAATGTGAAAAAATCATTAGCTTTTTGAGCACAGTCCGTAGGCCAAAACAACAATAATATATTGCAATGGCTCAGTTTTATTTCTTTTGTTTTTTCTCAGATCTGACATATTTTGATATTTTATGATATATCGGGGTGTTCTCTCGGGTTATATGGTCAAAAGCAAAGACGCCCGCACCAGAAGACAGAGGGGGTAGTGGCCCCTTTATCTTAGGAAAATGTAGCAATTTTCCTAATTTTACTTTCTCTTTGCCCTTTTTCCTTGCGCTTTGCCCCTTTACCGGCTTTAAGTGAGAATCAAAAAGTCAATAATTCTAAAGACGGACTTTCCACGATGTAATGCTTTGGAAGTCCCTATCCGGGAAGAGTTTTGGACCAAAGTAAAATTTTAAATACGGTAAAAGCCATCCCTATGTTTGAGAGCATTTCTTATTCTTGATAACAACCATCACGTCGTTACCGTGATCAGGAGGAAAGACGGCAGGCCAACAAATACTATTTCTGTTTGTACACGACAAACTTTTTATTTGACAAGTCTACAAACGATCTTTCACTATACATTCCAAAGAAAAATGAGGACAATAGTGCATTGTAAAAGGAAATCCTGCTAAATTTGTTGCCATTCGCTGCCTCACGTTGTCCAAATGTTATCTTAGGACTTATGTAAAAATCAAAAGACGGCAAGGGTTTAGCAAAGCTGTTCTAAGAAGAAGACACAACAAAGCAGATATAAAAAGATTGCCTGCCATGACAGAAAGTAAGTTGAAGCTATGCACACCACATTTGTGGGGGGTACATTCTGCAGGTCCATTTTAATTGAACTCCAAGGCAGTTTTGGAAGCTGTTATTCAAAGTGTGTATTATGCAGCTTTTTTAGGACCCAAACCGGCCATTTATAGGTTTTGTAAAATTTCATTGTTTTTTAGAAGTTTGGTTCTCATGCACGGTAAAAATCAATGCTTTTTGCAAAGACAGCCATAGCTTCTCTAAGATCAGCACTGAGATGCCTATATCCTGCAAAGCGAACTCTTTGGCATCCCCTGTTCATGCATGCTTTTTGCTTCATTGAATTCCTGTCATTGCTTCCTTAGTTCTGTTACACCCTAAAGCTTCACATAATGGGCGGTCTTATTAAAAGTTACCTCTGCAGAGGGGCCTGGCGAACAGACAACGTCACAGCTGCAAACAAGGGTGTTCTTGCAAATTTGTTTAGCTTATTGAAGTAAATTGGCAGATTTAGAGGGATTTGATAGGAACTTGCCGGCGTAACATGGGTGAAACAAATGCTAGCTTTGCGTTTCTATTTGCTTTCTGAATTGCATTTCTAGCTAAGGGGTGACAAACTAAAGAAATCGCTTGACCAAAAACTTGATTGTCTTGAGAAGGGAACAAGTTTCTTCAAATAACAATACTTCTTCTTTATTTACAATATAAGTTCTATTTATAAAGCAAAAATCAAACCAATCTATCCTTAAAATTACAGTAAAAAAGCAAGTCAGAGAACAGGACGCAGAAATAGCCTAGGCTCCTCGATGGTCGAGGCTTAGCTTAGGCCTCTCTTTGGTTGTTACCAACGATGTAGAAGCAACAATTTTTGCCAATATGATCAAAACTGAAAAAATCTGTACTCGAAAAGTAATACAGCCTGGAACATACAAGATTGAAACGATTCCCCCTTGTAGTCTGCGCCTGTGGCAAATAAAGCATCCGAGAATTGACAATATACTTTGTTCTTGGGGATAAAATTATAAATAAGAATCTAAATAAACTAAATTGAGGTAAATAAGGAATTTATCGTGTATATGCAGGACCGATAGATAATATTTAAGACTGAAAACTTCAAAGTGGGTTTTTCTTCAGCAGGCTATTGAAATGTAAAAGACCCGCATTTGCCATAACAGCCCGCGCTATCTGTCTGCCCTGTTGTAGTATAATGTATTTCTCTAAACCAAAGTAAAATAAAATAGTAGGAAACAGAAGCAAACCCCCATTTCTTTCAGGAAGAATTTCCTGATTTTTTTGTAAAAAGAGCACTATGGTCTGTTTACATTGAACATGAATGTTTTGAAGATGCACACACTAAAGAAGATGGCGGAGAAACATTATTTATGTAGAAAGAGATCATGTCCGTAAAAATGGACAATTCTAGATACTTGCAGAAAGGTAACGAAGCTACTTCCCCAAATCCGCAGGTTTCCCCCAACCCCTCGTACAAACATCGATTTGCAGAGTTTTTCATTTCTCAGTGTAAAAATAGGGACGTTTGAAATTCTTCGAAAACAAGCAATTAGCGTGGGGAATTTAATATATTTCTGAAAAACTAGCAATGCTGTTGCCAGAAATGAGAGTTGTTGGACATTTGCTTCCGATGGACTGTAGATGATGATAAGGATACACGAATGCTCCGTCAAGAAAAGAGTTTATGATCTTACCGGAGTACGACACAAAACAACGATTATCCTGTGTTATATTATACAATTTTCTTCCAATCAACTAAAAGGGACCGTTTTAAGCCGACAGACCAAAAATTATATCCCGCTAATTATGGGCTTTATATCAATTTTTAAACTTGGGGAAAACAAGCATTGACTTTGTATTGGTTTCATTTGGTTTGAGGCCATAATCTTAAATAAATTACACGAAATAGAATGATATCTAACAAGCTGTCCCCAAACTGAACTTCTGCTGCCTCCACGATTTCTCACCCCCCCCCCCTCCCCACTTTGATGTCTCAATCACACTTACAGCGATAAATAATAGTCTTATTTAATCTCTAAAATAAGTCCTAGAAGAAATAGACGACTGTTTTTCCGGCCGGCTTGGAAGCAAAAGAGGATATGAATCACTTGTCAGTCGACCAGACATCGCAATTGGAGGGAGTAAAATGTGGGCGAAAGAACCAACGTCCTCTTTGGCGCTAACTTCGCGCGATTCTGAATAATTTGTCATAGTGGGTTTAACTATATCAGGGAGAACAAGTTTCGGTAGTTCACTTTTTTCAAACGGAACCTTTTTCACGACATGTTTTTCTTTTGCGCTTGGTATCGTTGGTAAATTGTCACCGGCGATGTTTTCTAGTTCAATGTTTCTGCGATCTTTTCGTCGTTCGGATTTCTTGTTTCCCTTCCTTTTCGATCCCTTTGGATTCATATGGCTTTTCAATGAAGATGTCGGACTTTTTGAAACAAGACGTCCCCTAACAACCTCCCCGTGTATTATCATGGCGGATTTACATTAGCTCTGTTAAAGAGTTCTCCTCTGACCTCATATATCGCGTTTCTTCTTTGCCTTGTCTACTCGTATATCGCGTCTCGTTTTGGCTTATTACTTGGGTAAAATCACGTTGGACACAAAATTGCCAGCTCTAACGGGAATTACCTTTGGACTATAAAACCAATGAATAAGCATGTATATTATTGACAAACCAAGTTTACTCACTGATATCGAGAAACGACTGACTTTGATGCCCTGTATTTTGCAATTGTGTGCATAAACCGAATGCCGAGTTGGCAAAACCTGTTAGTCTGTGCTTGAAATCGATTGCTTCTCTTGCTTTAAAACTTCGTCTTTTTCTGAATCAATCACAAAGATGTGAAACCGAAATCCCAAGGTTTTTTATTTGAAACTCAATAATCCAGAGTACTTTGCCCCTTTAAACACAAAATTCACTCTGCATCGAAATTCCTTCTGCGGCATTCGATCCATTATCTTCCTCAATCATATCAGCTGACAGGAAAATCCTGAGTTACGACCCAACTCAGACACTATTGTTATTTTCTACGGGGAAACTTGAATATTAGATTCAAGCAAGAGTTGCACAACCCCCGTCTACGTATTGGATGACACAGCGGCGAGACGAAGTATAATAGATAAGAGAACTGGGGAGAGGTCTCTGGAAAATCGTCACTGTTAGCTTTTTATTTAATCTACGTAGCATCAAAATCCTATAATTTTTTCTTAGTAGTATACAATGTTTGCAAAGTAATAAGTAAAGAAAAATTAATAATGATAAAGAATAAATAATCTTGACAAAATTTTTGTACTTCTATCAAAACCGGTCTAGATATGGGGTCATTGTAATTTAGCGTCAAATAAAGTTGTATTTCAGAACGAGCTTTGAAACTTTCAGGAGGAGAATTTTGGCGCTTCGTCGAATCGTGCTGAGCACTCCTTCCTTGCAGCATATTTCCTTTGTTAACAGGTGTTGTACCTGTGGAATAGAAACGTTCTTACTTAGGGGCGTTGTGGCTCCTAGAAAAGGGCCGGGAGAAAATGATCATTAGGGGGCCCGCTTCTTTGTTTGACATCTCCCATAACAAACTACAGGTCGCCAAAAATGGTACCTACCTGGAAACCATGCACCAAAATTACAAAGATGCCAGTTTTATCATTTTTAAATGTTCATCTGCTTCATTTGTTGGGATGTTTCCTCTTTTCTCTAACCATAGTTTCTTTAAGATTGCGAAAAATGTGGAACAAATCCAGTGCTACTGCGCACACTTGATAACAACACAAGCGCTGAAGACTAGTTACATGCACTGCGAGCGAAGCGAGCAGAAAACTTTTGCGCCCACGCCCTCTAAATTAGCTTGAAACACATTTTAGAAAGTTTTTACAGACGCTTGCAACGTTTTACAATTTTTTAGGCATACTTTGTTGCGTTTTGTTAAAATTCAGTTCTTAAATTGGAATTCCTTGCTTTAAGAGGACCCCTAGACCTTGAGGCCCTCGGGCAGTCTACCCCTACTTGTCCCCCTTTTGGCGGCCCTTTTATGAATTTGTTGGATAGATTTGTTGAATATGTTTCCACACATCTCTGGCACAGAGCCCTGTTTGTATATGTTGACCTCCTTTAATTCTTAACTGTGCACTTGAGTCTACATGTAAGTAAAGCATTTTCTCACTAAGGATTTCGTTCATATTAAATATCTTTCTGGGTTTTACAAACTCAACTGAAAGGGGCCCACCGGGAAATCTCCCGGTGTCCCGCCTGGCCACAACGCCCCTGTTCTTACTCACGCAGTTGATCACAGTCTTCGCTTTTTATTGAATCGAGGTATTTAATATTCCTTTTGATACAGTGCGCTACAGATTAAGCTAGGAAGAGCACAAGGGAAATGAGCTGACCTGGTTAAGAGAATGTATATGTGGCAGCAGTAAGAGATACATAACTGGGTATATATTTCCCATCGTGTTCTTTAGGACACTTTTTATTACATTTTATACTCTTTTGAGTGTCGGACGAAAAAGCTTTAAGTATGTTGTTAAATTGTAGGAAACATTGTAGGAGCGCCTCAGTAAAAAATGTAAAAGGTAGCGATCTATGTTACCCCCCTATCTTACACATAAACTTCAAATCTAAATATATTGCATTCTTTAATTCTCTTCAGCCCTAGCTTAATTCAGCGGCATTGTTGCCTCAAATAACGTCTTTTTTCTCAAACATGTCCGTTTAGTCAATATTGACAGAATTTTTGTTCGTTTTCAAGAAAACTTTTTCGGCAGCGAGTTCGCTTTTTGCGCCTGTAATTACTTGTACTTGCAAACTAAGCAGTTTCCACCGACGATTTTCCACGTTCTTCAAATGAAAATTTTTTATTGTTAGTTTTAATCCCTTTCAAATTGAGAATAGCTTTTGTTTCCAAATATAAATTGCCTATTAAACAGCACATGATTACTTTGCTAGTTGTTCTGACAGCCATGCATCGTCATGACAACAAAGACGATAAGGTTGAACAAAGCCACTCCCTAAACGGACAGTTTTCTATATTGACTTCCATCAAGCATACAAGTAGCTTGTTGTTTTATTTCATTCAAGCCCACTTGAAACGATTGGTAGCTATTTCAAGCCACATAGCCAAATCGAGGTTATTTCTAAATGGCTACATGGATATCACATTGCGAGCAAAACAAAAGGGAAAAACTTTGCTGTGGCATCCAAAACAAACAAAGGGTATAGAGAAAGGGAGGGGGTTGAACAAATTTTCACAGAGGCTCTGTTTTTTGTCGGAAAGAAATTTAGAATCTAGATTTAGTAAGTTGTGAGTACCTACCCCTCCCCCCTCTGTAACAGGACCAATCATATTGTAGACTGCAATCACGTGATATGTCAATTATAATTAATAGAAGTATATAAATCGAGAGATTGGAAATAAAAGGAGATTGGATTTTTATTTGAATACAGATAAAAGTGGTGTTCTCTTTTCTCAACGCTCTACCGTTACGACCTATCACAACTGGTGGAGGTACACCTCTCAATGGTACCAAAACGCATAAATATGAAGAATAATGTTGTCTTATGCACAATGATCAATGCATTATCTGAAAGTCCCTAGCCTTGGCCAGGAACTCAGTCAGGTTTTTGCTAGATCCGCCCCTGCTATATCTAAAACCTGTCCGAAGAAAAAATGGCTGTTAATCACGAGCGGCTTTGCGACAACAACTTGCAAATAATTGATACGGAAGCTAGACGATTTGATCAAGAATTTCACCAATGTAAATTAAACTTACATAAATACATTATAAAGCAAAACAGTTCTTTCTTGCAGAGGAGTCGCAAGCCAGAAAACCTATACATTTCTTGCATTGCGTATATTCGCATTTTTGTATCAACAGTTTCATTGTTTACTGGTACAAAAAAGTTGAGACAAATTCCTTTCACAGCGAAAACCGAGGAATGGGTTACTAAGATTCAAAGAAAATTTCTCAATGAACGAACTGCGTAAAGTTTTACAGTGAAGCGGGGACAACCACAAGGGTATGGAACTAGTAGAACTAGAGAGGTACCTTGTAAACAAACTTTACCCATTCGGGGGAAACAACTTTTTAAAGATGCCTTCAAAGAGATTGGAATGAATGTGGGTAGTGTGAACTAGTCTAAATAGCAGCATTGACACGAAGAATTGCTCAGGTTTTAAGGGCAGAAGAAACAAATACAACAATTTTATTGAACTCTGTCTTGAAATGTTTGCTTCTTTCAAAGCTATTTTGAAAGGCTTTTTAAGTATAAAAATCAGTCAACTTTGCCCTATTTTCAAATATCCAATGTTGTCACAAGGCTGGTGTTTCAATTTGACAGCTGCTCAAGACTTAAAGAAGCTTTTTGAATAATAAAACCTCCTGGAACTCTGAAACGGACACGATTCAATAACAACGTCACTTGGAAATTCTGATCATACCTCGAATGAATCAGCTGATTGAATTCAAGGAGCAAAATGAAGCAGAAAAGGTCATAGTCGAATTGAAAGAAAAGTCCCTTGTAAATAACTAAATCTAAGTAAGATCTCAGTCGGAATTTAGCGATTAAACAGTATTCACCACACGTGTATGGGTATCATACTGAAATGCAGTACAAACAACTGAAAAAGTGCCGCAATCCAGAAGAAATCGGTGGTTTTTCTAGAATGAGGTGAATGAAGTCTGCCGATTTAAGGGATTATTCAATTTGCATAAGGATCCGGAAGCAAAGACAACCGGTTCGATTCGCTTACGTTCCACAACGTCCAATCTTCGATTAGTATTAGGGTAGTACCTAGGGCGGAAATCGAAGATTGAAGATTCGTTTACCCCACACAGCATGTCAGTATAATGGCGATCTTTTTGTGAAGAAATTCTACCAAAATTTGTCTAGGCCTAAATTCATCAGATACAAAGTGATTGAGCTTTCCGTCTCGCCAATAAAAAGTCTTAACTGGTCGAGCAACTTGCTATGGCCTTTCAACAAAAGACAACAGAAACTATTTGAGGATTGCAAAAAACAATAAAACAGAACCTTTTACTGTTGAGCTACCCTAAATATTCGCGAATTCAGCTGTGATTTCTTGAAGCCAAATGCACCCCAGTCAGGTTTCTAGCTAAGTATAGCTGTAAATCCATAACGCGATACTATAATGGGTATACCAAATACATATTAACGTGCTGACGTTTGAACGAATTGATTAATAAAAAGGCTGATCTCTCTTTTGAAAAACAAATTAATCTCCGAATAACATTCTTGGCAAGCATTTCATTGATGCAGTATAGTCTTCTTCAATGGGAATATGGAGAAACACAAACAAAAATATTCCATAGAACGTATTTTCATTAAAGAACGAAATAACATAATTTCAACCTAGTGAGTTCTTTTGTACGTATAACTGTCCGGGAATGCAAACTGGTGCACACGATTTGACGTGTGACGTGGCAGCATTCCTGCATTTGGAACTGTGTTCCATGAAAAGGTCAGCGTAATATTTTTGTTGCCTCTGAAAAACGAAAAATACGAGTTTCGCATTAGCAGGGGTATAGGTAAAGGAATATTTAACAAAAAACGTTAATGTCCGGTGCCATTTTCAAGCTGCATCATTGTATCAAAAAGACGTATGATGTTTCAACTAAAATAAAAGGATTTCTGCGGATTTTCTATAAACAAGAGGATTTCCACGAAAGGTGATTCGTCCCTCGTTTATCTGGAGAAAGGTGGGCCGTCGCTATAGTTGGGGTGTGACACCCCCTTGAAAAAAATCCGTTCTTCGCCACCTAGGGGAGCTTCGGCAAATAATGGATGGCTCACCCACAACAAGGATATCTAGAGCATCAGTACTGCGCATGGGATGCCCTCCTGAAAATGTGATACAAATCGACACAACTAAATGAATCGACACAATCAAAAGGATATTATTTACATATTGAATCGATTAAACTAAGAAATTTATCCAAATGTATGCTCACCTCAAACCACCCACACCATCATCAAAGAAGTAATACTTAGTGTTCATATTACGAAGATCTATCACTGCTTTGTCGCCTCGTTGGATTATCTTGTCCCATAAAACCACTTGGTTCACCTCCTTCAAAAGATTAAAATACCTCTTGTATAGTAGCTAGTCGTCAAGGCAGCACAAAAAATCAGAACTTGAACAAACGCTCGTTTAAATAAACAGAATACCGTATATTCTCGAATTAGCCCCCTGGGGGCTTATTTATTTTTGATATTCTTGGATGGGGGCTTATTCAAGGGGAGGCTTATACGAGGGGGGGGGGCTTATATACGAGGGGGGGATTATTGTTGACATTAAGAAGATGTTATTAGAAGACCTCGTTTATTTTAGTAGGAATTTCTTTTTGAGCATTTAATTAATTACTACCAAAAGTATGAATTTGTTGTGGTAATTCAATAAAACGCCATATGCAACCTCAGATGGCGAAAATCGTCAAATTGAGGGGTCCAATTTGAGAATTTACGGTAGCAGTGGGGGCTTATTCGAGGGGAGGCGGGTTATTGACAATTTGTAGTTCTAGGGTGGGGGCTTATTCGAGGTGGGGGGCTTTTTTGAGGGGGGCTTTTTTGAGGGGGGCCAATTCGAGGATTTACGGTAAATGGGAATTGTAACTGCGAACAGGGTTAAATGTAATGATTCAAAATGCAACGGAATATCCTTTTGAATGAAGCTCTCTTGAAAATGCTAACTTGTGAAAATATGCTCCCTTTACAAACATCCCTCTTTGGAAAGGAGCAGATATAGTAAAAGTATAGAAATCAATTTACTAGACTTTTTTGGATTCCTGTAAAGAGGAAATTTTCGGTAGAATCCTTTCCTATAAATTTTGACGTAACCAACTAAAACATTTTTTCAGAAGCATTTTTACAAATTCATGACTTCAGGCTTAAAACTTATATTATACCTGAAGTATAAAAAGTCGCCCCCCTCTATAAATTCTTACCCCTAACAAACAAAAGCATAAACAGTTCAAAAACGACTCCAGCGTTTTTATAACAGTTTTTAAAGTGTCGTGAAATGTATTCTTTTGGTTCAGTCTTTGATCTTGCTAATAACAGGATAGGATAGTCATATACGATAATTAGGAAACTATTTTTTTATTAATTTGAACAATTTCAAATTGTTCAAGACAAGGTGAAGTGCATAAAAAGTTCTAATACAAACATATAAAAATACAATCTAATTTAGTTAAATAAACAAAATTTAGCTAAAAATCTCATAAATCAGTTAATACTAATGAATATATACTGACAAAACATCACGCTATCAGCTTGGCTTTTATAGGGAGGAGAAAGCTAGGCAAATGCCTGCCATTTTTTCAGGATTTCAAAAATTAATGGTTAATATAATTTGGCACTTTAAAGATTATTTTAATCTAATTCAAAATAACTCAAAATTCTAATCATTTGTCTGACCTTTCTATAGGTCTCATTGTCTCAACCATAGCTAAATAAGGTTTGTGTGTATGTACATTTAACAAGATTTGGCAACGTTTATTCACAGCAAAAGATCTGCACTCACGTTATTTTTGGTTTTGTACTCAGCTGTTGCATATAGAAAGAGCTGTTTGACATTCCAGTTGAATAACGGTCTCAAATCTGGAAAATAGTGACAACAGAATAACGTAAAGAATGAAGTAGAATATTTTAATAATCAATATAACACAAGTAGTCATTTTAATACAAACTGGAGAGAAATATTTTTGTTTTGCTTCTGATACAGAAACAGCACTCTAGCTTGGTATAAAGAAACATTAAGCAGGCTTTCGTGGGAATTATATAGCAGGCGTGCGGTGGTTAGCGAAACATCCAGGCGAGCGGTGGTGTGTGACATTTTTTTCGCCAAAATTTATGGTAATCATAATAGATCTATGCAGAATTTGCCAACACGACAATGATAACAGAAATACTTTTGATGAAATTTGCTTCGCTGAATTAAAAGCATAACTACTTAAATACATGCTATTTCTGAAGACTTGAGTATTTTTCTACACAAGTATAAACTGAGCTTATTTATAATATCAGCAAAAATGGCACTACACGTACAGAAATATTTTTACCATGTCATATGCAGTTTTCATCGGCTTCAGTAATGAATCCTTAGCGGACTCATTGAGGGCTTGGCGTTTATCTGGTTGTTATAACCGTTTTTGCGTATAAATCTGTTCCCCTCAAAGGCTCTATGTTATCAAGATTGACAGCTATTTTACGTACTTCACTGGCCAGATTTCAATAATCCATAAATTATATGCATAAACGATAATTATGGGCCATTTTTCATTAAATCAAATGTTGCCAACATCTAGATCTAGAGCATAGTGTAAAGAGGGGGGTGTATGAGGGTAGTGAACAGTGTGACCAGATCTCAATTTTGGAATTAAGCCAAATTCGTCATAAAATTGTGCTAGATTAGCAAAAATTACGCTAAATTTAAAATCAAGGAAACCCTGCTCGAGAAAGAGGCTAACACATGCTTAGAATATCAAAAGTGGCCAGAATTGCCATTTGGCCCTTTTGACAACCCAGTGTACTCATTCTTCATAAACAAAAAGGCAATCTAGATCGATAGTTTTGACGGCCAAACTTCTCGATTTTGGCAACTTTTTAAAACAAATAATATTCAAACCTTTTTAAAATAATTTCATAATTGCAAACGATGAATGATGAAACAAAGTAAAAGATAACAGACAGTTCACTAATAAAAGCAAGTGAAAAATTTTGTAACCTACAAAGCAAATTTTGATTGGGCCATCACTCCCCACAATTAGCAAAAATTTATCTTTTTACACAGGGCCGGCGAAACCGGGGGAGCCGGGGGGGGGCATGCCCCCCCCCCCACTTTTCTGCAGAGCTAAAGAAAAATTTTAGGCAAAAGTGGAAATAAATGTAGTATATCATTCTGTAAGTAACTTTGCCTAGTATTCTCTTAAATGTGTCCTTATCTTTACCTTGGTTGCTATGTATTTACCATAGAAGACATACATAAAATTTGAATATAGGAATTAGATCGAAGAAATCGGTCATTGTCTAAGTTGTACAACGAGTAACAGCTTGGCTTAGCAAATAGATCGAGAAACCTAGTCCAGAATTACTTGGTGCCAGCACAAATTGACGGAGTTTCGTTTTTTCCATTGCCTAAACTTGGCACACAAGGTCTATTTGTTAACGAACACTTTCTCAGAAACATTACAAAAAGAGAGAAATCAGCTGTTGAAGAAAAAGAAACAGCTGGAAAGAACTTTTTTGAGGACATGAGAAATGAAGTATGGGCAGATTTGTTCTTAAAAAGTATCATCAAGAAAACTTCAGAGTTTGATCGTTTGGATAATCCATTCCTACTGTGAAAGATAAAATCTAGATGCAATTATAAATTCTATTAAAACTCTTTTTGACCAGCGCAGTTTGAAAGTTTTAAAATCCAGATTTTTTTGTTAAAAGCACCTTATTTTGCGAAAAATTTAAGATCAGATGTTACAAAACAATATTCCAAGTGAACAAATTCCTTAAGCTTCTTATTTTAGTTGACAGTTCTTCTGTTGATATTCCGTGTTTTTTAAACCTTGTTTCATTTATTTTTCTCCTCCATCTTATTTTGGGTACCTTTAAATCTAAAAAAAAGTTTCATTACGAGCTAAATAATAAAATGAACTCTGAAACTTTGGAAGATCTTACCTTTTCCAAGTCAAGATCACAACAGAAGAGACTATTTGACATGTTGGTAAAACAAAACAGTCGCTGGCCATCCCCAAGATACAATAATTCTTAAATTTTTCTTGCCGTCAACCATGGTGGTGGCCAGTGGCGTACCCAGGGCTGGAGCAGTGGGGGGGGGGGTACCATAAATTTTTTTTGGACCGCGCCCTTCAAACACACGCAAATGCGGGGAAACCCCATTATTTGATTCATGCTAGCTACGGTAAATAGCAAAGTATTTTACAATTACAGTTATTGCCACAAGCATACAGTATACTACAACCCCCCCCCCCCAAATGAGTTTTACATCGTTTTTGGACAAATCTCGGGGATCATATTTTAGAAAAGTGGGGGGTCCGGACCCCTTGGGTACGCCACTGGTGGTGGCCTAACCTAAATCTTGAAAGGGCTTATTTGGCCCCTTCACTTTCAAATACGTTTCGCCGGCCCTGGTACAATAGATCCCATTATAACATACTCAGTTATTACGTACTTTCCGATCTAATGTACAGGTGTGCTTGGTCCTGGCAAAAGGTGTGCTTGATTTTAGAGTTTTTACTTACCCTCTTTACAATCAGTGGCGGACACCTGGGGGGAAAAGGGAGGGGGGAGGGGCTGGCGAGGAGGGCGACTGCCCCCAATACTTTAGAGGGCAATGGTCTTTTATTCCAAAACAATGGGAAATGTGACGTCATCTTATTAAAACAATAGGCTTGCCCCCCCCAATATTTCACCAAGTTTCCGCCCCTGGTTACAATGTACTTTGGATATAAGGTACTTAAAATACATTATAACTGGATTATACTGTATAATTCGTTTAGCTGGCTGAATTTGGATCCCAACCATAAAATATGTGGCTGCCAACTATTCCAAACATCTGGCAAAATCCTGAAAGTGGAAAGTCACAATTTTCTCCCAAAATGAAACCAAAGATGCTGGCGTAAAGTGTTTGCACTTGGTAGCAATAGATAATGGATTAATGGAAACAATGATTTTTTAAGAAATATCAAAATTATGCCAGAGTTATGCTAGATTCCAAATTATGCTAGATTTTATGCTAAATGACGATTTTTGACCAATGTTATGCTAAAAGCACAATATTTTGCCAGATCTAGTCACACTACTTGTGAAATCCGCAAATCGCTAATCTCGCTAAATTAGCGATCGAAAATGAAAATGCTGTTCATGAAACTTCGTTTCTATTGAAACGCCACTCTATTGAACGCCGCACCTTCAGCCAGCCATTTGGAAAAAACGCCGCCCTCTGATAAACGCCACCCTCTATTGAACGCCGCACCTTCAGCCAGCCATTTTGAAAAAATGCAGCCCTCTGATAAACGCTGCCCTCTACTGAACGCCGCATCTTGAGAAGCGGCGTTCATTAGAAAACACCAGTAATTATGAATCTTGCTCTCAAAATAAAAGTGGTGTCTGATATTTTGCACCCCTGGAAAGCAGAAGGCATGCGCAGGGCAAGCTCATGCAATCGCATGCATTTCCGATGAAAGCATGAATAAGAGTTTGGGGAGGAAATTAAAAATGAAAGATTTTATGCAAGGAACTGTAGTTCTTCTGTTCCAAAATTAACATTATTTGGCAAAATCATGAAATCTCTGTTGAGCTAAAATCACTTCCAACCAACAAGACACCAAGATCAACAAATATGAAATGATTAAGAAATGAAGAATTTCCAATTTTATGACATACCTGCATCTATATCAAAAGTGAGAAATCCAAGGTCTGTGTAATCTTTAGCAACTGTGAAATCTCGAACACTTTTTCTAAAATAAAATTCCAAAAAGTAAGAAAAAAGAACAAATATTGTCTGAAGAAGGATAGGCAAAAATTCCTATATTCAGTAATGGTTGATTATTTGCTAAAGGCATTTTTAGTGTTTCTGCCAATAGTATCACCACAAAGTGAACTAGGGCAGACATGTCCACCTCAGTTTTCCCAGCTTGGTTAATTTTCCGATTTCTCCAAATCAATTGAAAAACCTTTGAGGAGGGGTTTATCAGATTGATTTCGATTTTTGTTCTTGCAACAAAGCCCTCACTACTAAAAGTGCTGCTAGGTAAAGTTGCTTTCCCAAAAATTTAAAATAAAATTTCACGGTAAACCTAAAATACTAAAAAGGGCATTTCCCATGTTTTCCAAGAGTATTGAGGGCATGGTCCAGAAATTTTTTTGTCCACCCAAGTTCTTTTAGGCTGGCATGGTTTTTGGTTTCTGTAAGTCTTAAGCTTTTTCAGCTAATTTACATTGTGACTGATGACACAAAATACAAATGGAACAGCAACATCACCAAACATGAAAAGACACATTCTGCTGAGATACAACATAAGTAGCTGCATAAAACTTTTCAGTCTTCATTTGCATTTCTATTATATAAATATTAAACACCAAGTATCAAGTTTGGCAACTAATGTCATTATGGCAGGCTACATGTGTACCAAAATACTTTTCTCAATTTTATGCTATTAGCATAGCCAAAGAGACTAGAGAACAGAACCTCGGTCTTGCAAAGAGAACCCCAAAGAGAACAGCCACCTCGGTCAAACCTACGATTCTGCTATCGGGCAGCATTTGCTAGAAAACCCAGATTGTGCAAAAAACTATAATGGTGACATGTTTCGGATTATTGGTAAAGCCCGATCGTCGTTCCACCTAGCAGTTTTAGAATCTATCTACATAAGCACAACGAAACTGCTATTGTGTAGACAAAAGGAGTTCGTTTTCACCTTAGGACTCCATTGGTAACATTCTAATAGCCAAGCGGCACTGATTGGTCAACCTTTACAGTCATGTGCTCGTGTTTCTGATTGGCCTATTTTGATCCACAACTGGGTATATATATTTCTTAGCGTAGAGTTTTCAATCTATGCTCTGACGTTTTAAACTCTGAAGAGTGTCAGAAGAAAAGCTTTAGTTTACTAAATGTTTGCTTTTTTCAAAGCCATTTCCAAAGAGACTAGTTGTATGCAATCTCATTGGCCTGACAGGGTACTTTTAAAATGCCAATCTACTTCCATTCGAAACAAACAAGATTTTGACCTAATAGTTAAATTTGGCATTTATGTTATAACAAGCATATATGTCTTTTGTCATACTACTATCATAGACTAGCATACATTCATTTTAATAATATCACACTTAACAAGAAGAACATAAAGGCTTCTTTTCCGAAATTATAAGACCAACGTACGAACATACTCCCAGCCCCAGATAAGAAATTAGTATAGAAGAAAAAGTGTTTTTTACTTGTCTCTCATGCTAGTAAAATACTAGGGATTTTATCAGAAAATCAGCTATGTACTGGGAATGTAACGTTAAACTGTTATTGAGTGCTCTTAGAAACAATTTATGTGGCATGCAAGTAGAAAAATGTTGAAATAAGAACGACATTGGGTTTAAGGAACACTAGAGCCTCAATTATCTAAAAAATGAGAACATCAAGACTCAAAAAAACTAATCTGGTTGTTAAAGATAAAAACTGTAAATCTGTGGCGCGCTCTTGTAGCCATCATATCCAGCATGGCCAGGCTAGGGAATGTTGCTAAAAATGAATAAAGGAGACTCACACTATCTGTTTATTGACATTCATATCTATCTGAAGCTCTCTGTGTCTGAAGAAGAACGTTGATAAAAAGCACCCAAAGGTGACGATTGCTAAAACAGTTAAGGTATACGCAAATACAACATTTGCACGTGAGAGAAAACTATGCATGGCTGCTTAGTTCATAGGCACCAAAGAAGTCAACTCTCAGCCATTGATTGATGAAGCCATCAGCCCTATTATCATAGTCTCGTTTCAAATTTGATACGACGTTTGCTAGCCTCGTTAATCAATCACTGATAAAAACTTATCAAAAAGTTTCACGGAGAACAATGTATGAAAGTTTCAAGGAAATAGGAATGAAATTTTAAGAGGAAACATAACTTGTCTAAAAATTCACAGGCTTCAAAGCTTCAAGCAAATAGGAATAAAATCATAGGAGGAAGTCAAGAGTGAGGGATAAATCAATGTTTGAAGAAATACATCGTTTCAGCTACTGTTTGACACGCCCAGTAGTGGTCCTTTCGGGGGTTACGAGAAGTTTCTGTATTGAACGATGCAATTTAATCGAGACAATTCTAGAATTTACAGTGATTTTAAGAGTGATCTATAATCCTAAATCAAACATTAGTAGCTGTATGTATGAATGTATGTTATTTGCCTGAAATATTGTCTGATTCGCAGAGCTACAATTCCGGACAAAAATAGTTGAGACTTTTCAAAAAAGCTTTATGTTTTCTCTTTCCTTTGAAAAATAGCTTCCCCATCCCCCCAATTTAAAGTTGAATGCATGATTTTGAAGCAAAAATGACAGTACTACAAATCCAACATTGTTTCGGGGGAAAGGGGGGATTCGAATTTACAGGGGCATAAGGTAAAGTAGAAAATCACACAAATTGCATTTTGTCTCAACATTTTTGTCCGGGTTTGTAGTTTACTTGTACAATCTTGCTTGGATTTTGAATAAAAATATTTTACTTCTGAGCTAGGGCTAGGCCAGATGCCCATAAACTTTTCAAGCTTGACTTTTCCTATCAGTCAAAAATTGAAAGTGTTCCGCATTAGGTTGTAACCGCATTCAGGAATATAGACCAAAAAATCTTTGTTTGATAGATGTCTGTACTTATGATGAGATTGTGGAATTTATCAATTATTTTCGTGAGACAGATAATCATGATTTGAATTTCAGACACTCCTATCAGTAATTGGCAGTTTCTCATTTATTGTTCGTCTTAAAACACCTGGTGTCAATTCGCTATAAACTTATATTGTATTAACTATATTACCTATCGATCTTTTATTATAGAGGCTTATCATTGTAAATGTCAGACAGTTATATTTTTTGTAAAAGAAGCTTTATGCACCATGATGAAAAAACTTACCTGGATCTGGCGTATCAAAGTGAAAAGAAACGTTGTTCACAGAGAATTGAGTGAAATGGAAAGTGTTAAGAATTCTGCATTCCCTCGTTAGGTAAAGATTTTGGTGCTGGTCAAGCCTTAACTGGTTTTGGTTTTGATTGCACCAAACGGAGAACAATTGGCCTTTCTTTGATGGTTATTGCAAATGGGCATTTGTCACAAATAAGTCATCAGATCTAAACATCCAGAGCATTTGTTATAATTGAGACAAAAATGTTGATTTTATACAGAGTTGATAGAAGTTTAACTCGAAATTGAACTTTTTGACCCTCCCAGTACCAAATAGGGTTGGGGGGGGGGTTGGTGTGCCAAATAGTTTCATCCATGATTTCTTAAATGCACTTTATCCATAATATCTTAAAATATTAGGGTGCTCTAACCCTCAACACCCGGCTGATTTGATCTTTTCTTCTAGAATTTGTACACATCTTACCCAATTTTTTTGTGGAAGCTGTAAATAACCATCGATGAAAAAGCCATCGTTGATATTTCCTAACAAGACTCTCATCTATATTTTGAGCATATATGTTGCTTTATAAATTGGAAACGTAAGTTGGCATAAGAATCATGACAATGCAAACGTTGCTTTTATAGGCATAGGAGGTAAAAACTAAAAAACCAATATGTGAATCAAAGTATAAAATCCAAAATAGAAAAATGAGAAAAAAGGAGATAAGGAGTAGTCACTACCACCTGGTTACAGCCTCAAACTCAGATGGGGGTGGTTGTGTGTGCCCTTGTATGTTTTAAGCAACTAGCTTGTAAGTGGGCAGAAAATGATAAAAAGGACCTCATCAGCCAGAAACCCACGAGGGACATTTCGGGGCTTTAATTCGGTATGTCCATTTCTCGTAGGCGCCCCTCGCAATCCTGCGTCCAGGATCACGGTTGCAACGGTCAGGAAATACAAATAAAATATATATATATATATTACAACGATCAACAAAAAGTAGCAATCGACACAGAGTGCTTACTAAAGTACGACTGTAGAGTGTATGGAGGCATTTAAATTGAGTGGGTGAAGAGGATAAACATGGTACTGCGTGGCTTTGGGAATAAAGGGCTGGGTGAAATGGGAAGGGTTAAAAGTATCACCTGTACATAACAGCATAAAGTTAGAGTTGGCGGGGTTGGGTGTGGCTATGGGAAGGGCGTGCCAAATGGGTTGGGTAGAGGAAGAAGAGGGTACCTGATCTGGGAATGGGTTTGTATGTATAGAATGGATGGAGGACAGGGCTGTTGAATGTTTGGAACAAGGGGGGGGAATTGGATGCCTTATCTGTTTCAGGGGCCCCATTTGAGGCCCCAATTAATTAGTGTAAACTTTGTATTTCAACATGTGCATGTTTCCTTGTATCAGACGCCACAATATCGTTGTCCATAGAGAATGTGGCGAGATTATTGGTGGAAAAATGTTTGTTTTTGTTATAGTAACAGCTATATCAACGAGCTCTAGTAAAATCACACTTACGAATACACCTGATGGGTCTATCGGATGAGATGTAATGGCAGTTATGTGACATATGTATGTCACTGAAAAAGCCGTTTGATTTGGACATGAAGTTTAATTGTTATATTTCCAATACGAGGGAATAGTTAATCAGTAAGTGTTGTCATACTGGCCTCATACCAAAGAAGAAATAGATAAGAAAACATTGGCGAGCCGTGAATTAAATTGCTAGCACTGCACCAGGGGATCATTTAAATGTGTAGTAATTATATCAGTTTAAAACTGTTATTTTTATAGGTTAAGGTATTTCCAAGCAGTAGAGCATTTAGTAGTTACTGTTGTAACAATGACCTTGTAAAAATGAAGAAGGAAGAATAGAAAATTTCCACAGGGCCGTAAATACAAACTGACCACTGGCTCGAGTAGGCCTGTTTTACGAATGGTAATTGTTAATGTGTGGCATTGAATAGCCTTTTAATTTGGAGGTAGGCACCGCGGGGCTAAAGCCCCCCCCCCAGCCCCCCCTGCTCCGCGGTGCCTGGCATTGGCTATGAATGAACTGCTAAATTGCAGATATACAGTGTAGTTGTCTTTAGTTAAACAGCATCAAACAGTTTTAAGTTTCAAGTCACTTTTATCGCGTCTGTTTGTCAAACAGTCGCATAAAGCTCTTTTCATTTCTCCTGCATTTTTGATCAAACGAGAGGGCTTCCTTGCTTCATTATTGGTATGAACAGCCTTCTTATAATCAAAGCAGCTCTGCGCAAATCTTTCAACTTTTCTCTTTACCATTTTCATTTTCGAACAAACATGAACGCTTGTTTCTCTCGTTTTCATATCCGCCTCGACTGGAAAAAGAAGCTTTTCTGACTTAATTTTCTTTCTTATTAAGAATGACGCTATCCGTTGTCTACTGACAAAATTTAGTATCTTCTGTTTTCAGAGGAAAAGCAATTTTCTTCTCCCTCCAATCAAATATTTGCTTTCAAGTAATTTTGCAAACTTAACTCTTAGTCAGTTATTAAAACAGTTAAAGTCAACTCAAAATGGTTATATGACTGAGCTATACTATTTAGTTTGCAGGATGATAAAGGGAAATTTTTCACGGAAATAGTGATAAAGGGAAGTTGTAATCATTTTTAGAACAAAGACCTAGAAATTTATATGAACCTGTCATCGTGTTAGAGAACTGCGAGTTTTTGAACATTTCATTTGTTGATGATACATTTTTTTAAAAAATATTTCCAATTAAAGCAGATTAAATGGAAGCCATTAAGCACAACAAGGCTTGTTATGATTTTTCAATTTTTTGTATCATTTGGCAATATGTCCCATGCTTTTTGTCACATAACTCTGATTGCATCAGCTTCACATAACTTGCTCTAACTGTTGGTAGCTGCAAATTTTCCTTGCTACTTAAATCACACGTTGTAGTTTTTTCTTTAAAGATCTCCTTCATAAGTGTTACTTTTAGCTTTGAAAATTTCGATTGCAAACAATTGTAGATTTTTTCATGTATGGTAGCAGAACGGTCTCTATTCAATAATTCAACAAAAATTGAGCTACAATCCATCTATGCAATTTTTAAAGCCCCTTCCTGGACGTTGATTATTTTTCTAAAAAACTTCGATCATAAAACATCTGTTGCCAGTTAATTCAGACTTTTGTTAGTAATTTCATTTTACTTTTATCCGTATATTCAGAACTCTGTTTAGAGCATGTAGATTTTGGCTGGCTTTCCTACATAAAATTCTACAGAAAGCATGTAGCTTTTCTACATTTATCTAGTAAAATACCTAATAGAGCTTTTTCGTCACTTTCTCTAACAAGTGCATTTCCTTTTGCTAGTACCAAATTTTCAGAATTTTTGCCGAAAACCATCAAATACATTATTTTCATTTAGTTTTATTTTTTATTATCTGCAGCCAATGATGATGTTGATCGCGTCTTTTTTAATTCTAGCTTTGAAAGTCCATATCCGTTGCATATGGTACGAAATGATCAACCCTCAAAATTGCAGATATTAGTGCCATCAACTACATAGAATAGGCGATTGATGACAATATCAAAAAGGAGTGCACCTAGGACTGTGTCTTGTGGCACACCAAACCTTGTCTTACCCCAAGTATTGCATGAGTCATTCATTCTGACTCTGTACTTTCTACGTGATAAGTGGCTATAAATAAACTTAAGAGCATTTTTACTCTTATTCCATATTCGTTGAGCATAAGCTAATTTTTACTGAGCTTAGCAATTAGGAGGTCGTGATAGAGACAGGTGGGTAGAGCTCCTCAAGGAGATAAACTAATTGAGAGAAAGAGCAACATCCCAACAAAAAATAAGACAAGATATTCTTGTGATCCTATAAGGGGTATTTGAAATATGAAATAAATGAGATCTTAGGGATGAAAATATAAATATTTTGGCTTTTGAGTCTCTAAATATGAAATAACTTTGGTTCCCAGCATGAAATGTGGAATAAAAAAATAACTGAATACCTCTTTAAACGTTGTGTGAGAATTATCTACTTGATAACAGCATTGACTTTCTATACATTCCAAAAAGTAACATAAAAAGTTACTGTAATACCTTGACTGCACGCTACTTTACAAATTGTACAAGGACGATACCCCAGGGAGCATCAATTCTGTCTGCCCCGGGACCATAACATAGAGAGGAAAAATGCACGTTTGTAATTACAAAGACTTGAAAATGTAAGAGACTATTGATCTCAAGCATTGACTCAAGTGACTATTGATCTGTACACCTGTTAAGATACCAACCATATTACACCTTTTTAGGGGTTTAAAAGGCTTTTCATACTTTACGTTTAGGGAAAATACCAAAAGCATAAAATCTACCGCAAATACTTTTGGCTTATATTATCTCAACGAAATAGACGAGAACATCAAATAACATCATAAACATGTTTTTATCTACATTGCTTTATCAAGTTATTCTTATCTTGAAAATGTTGTTTCTGACGATATCTTTGATTCCAGTATGGCGCCAATAAGTAATGCTAAAATTGATTATAAGTTACGCAAGGCAATATTATGAAAAGCCACAAACACGCAAACGTGAAGAGAATTTGGCCCAGTCCTAACATGCTGGTAGTTGACCAGAAGTCGCTTTACTGGAAGCATGAATAATGGAGGGTCAGCAAAATTTCGACATTCGAATTTTTTAAATCTGATAATACCGTCAGAAAAGCTTGTAACGTGGGCTTGACTTCCGGTCTTCTGCCAGTTGAGAGTTGATTTCACTTAGTTTTAGCTTCGTATTAACATTATTTTAGAATTATTTCTTGCTATTGAATGCACCTAAGACTGTAAGTGACTAGAAATAACAGTATGACTGTTTTATGAAGAATTGGTTAATCAACTGAATTTACTGGTTGTTAAGGCTCTTGGCGATTAGTAGAGCCAAAGAAGATATCCCAAAATTTTTCAAGCTCATTTTCTCTTCCAGGCATGTCTATAACTGGCCTCTTCAGGTTGTACCCTCCACGCAAAGACTTAAGACTATCAATTTTAGTATATGTATTATGTTTTTAGAGTTTCTTTAGTTGTTCCCAAAAAATAAGTTGAGCAAAACAATGATCAATATTTCATTCAGTGGCCTTAGATTCCGCTTAAAAGTACCAAATGATTCCACAGTTCAAAAGAGAATTAATTCCCTATTTTCACCCAAGTACGGAATCTATTTGACTTTTTATGCATCCATTCTTTACACATTTTCAATGTTTGTGGCTGCAAAAATTGGTTTTGAAGACTCGGTCCATTTTGTATGTGAGTCAGTCCAACTTTTCCTGACACCTGAAGGCAGGATGGAACATTTGACAATTTCAAAATACTTTGCTTTGTTAATTTTGGAATTTGAAATAATTGCAAGATATCATCATGAAATTTGAAATAACGTCATCCCCCCATAACCGTGTTAAATTTCCAACAAGACCAGAAGTTTTCCGACAATATAGCAGTTTAGCTCTACAGGGGGAGGGTTTGCCGGCTCTGACCCCCCTCTATCTACGCCACTGCCACCAGATGGGAAGCATTCCCATAACCCCTAGAAGCATCTGCTTAAGGCATGCTTTACATGCATTGTCTTTCGTCCTGACCTGGGGCCCATCAATCCTCTCCGCGGCCCTGGTCACTTGCTGTGTATTTCCACACAATTAGAATACTGTCAATTTAGCTGTAAACGGCTATGCTAACTATGTATTACTACGGTTCCTTAAAGCATTATTCCTTTTCTCTTTTAGTGCCATGCCTGGGGCAGGCATCAACGGTCATGAGCAGTGCTGAGGAGAGGGAAGTCAGGGGGGTCACTGACCCCGGGGTTCTTGCCTTTAGGGGCCCTTATATTAGACCCCGTTTACACTGTCCCGGGACACTTTTGTACCGTTACGGTTCGCAAGTGTTTACACTGTCGCGGTTCCAAATTATTCCGTTTAGCCGTTCCGTTTACACTGTACCGGTACGACCTTAATTTAGTGGTAGAACATTGTTTAGAAGAAGCTGTATTTAGTCAACCAAGGCTTTTATTTTGCCGTCGAAGTCAACAATCGAATTTTTATTGAGAGTTTAAATAGAGTGAAAGGCCGATAAAAACTTTACTTGAACGAACGACAAGGTGGCTTTAATTTTCAGTATTATTTTAGACTACCAAACTGCAAGATCCAATCAAGGCTTGGACTGGGAAACAATACAAGCCTTTTCTGTGGTCGTCTTCTCTTCAAAATTTCTTCAGAATTTTACAACGTAGTTACGCCACAATCAAAGCCTCGATTACCTGAAACAGCCATACAAAAGACCTCTTTGTGAATCCGTGACAAAATCGTCTCGGATAGGTGTTAAAAACGGAACCGTGACGGTACAAGATTCGTTCGCTTTCAAAGCAGGGTCAAAAACTGTTCCGGATAGCAAAGCAAAATCGTCACGGTTCCACAGTGTTAGTGTAAACGGAAGGGCGAACCGCGACAGTTTTGTCACGGTTCCAAACTTGCACGGGACAATGTAAACGGGATCTTAGAGACAATAATGATAAAAGTAAGGTAGAAGCAGATCGAGTCATATATTTTTGTTAAGAATTTGTCTTCTTTGTGGGCTTGGGCTAAAGAAGTAAACAGCTTCTGAATGTTCCTAAAAGATGTGATTGCAACAGGGCAACAAACAGCAATATGTATGTCATACAAGTTTACACTATGGCATGCGCATCTATTTGCAATAGTGTGTCGGTGGTGATCGAATTTAGTTAATGAATTAAACGCTTTCCATTTTCTAAAAATTGAGAATTTCTAAGAAATTTTCATTTTTATGCATTATGGTAACAGCCACCAGACAATCGCATAGATTGGAAAATTCATTATATTTTCCGACATAAAATCTAAAAAAGCATTTATATTTTATCGTAAATTTTAACATCATATAACGACATTGGAACTGAAATAGATAAATCTTTTGATATTTTCAGATATTCTTATGTTTATTTAACTTCAAATTATTTTCTATCAAAACATGGCAATTAGATAAACATAGATAAGCATGTTGAATTTTCGACAAGACCAGAGGTTTTCCGACAAAATAGCAGTTTAGCTCTACAGAGGGGTTTTTTGCCCCCCCCCCCTGACCTCCGTAGGTTAGACACCATAGCAATTTTAGCAACCATCATTTTCAAAAATTTCTGTGGAGCATTCCCCGTGCTTTACTATTTAACTTTTGTCTATATATGTCTTTTCTCTATATATGGCAAACAAATGTCATCTGCCTCTTTCTTATTATACAGAGAAGTTCATTTGTACACGATGCATTATCGAGTTTATTGAACTTAGAGTTCTTTTAAAACATTCTTTTCATTCAAGACAATAAAATTAAATTTTGACGAAAAAAAACCTCATTTGGTTTTGGAAAACATTTTCATATAAGTCATTAGTGGACTAGACCACACTATATAAGACCTTGAAAAACCCAACCACATAGCCGTTACTATGATCAGAAAATTTAAAAGCCTTTATGGTAGGAATGCGAGGGAGTGATACGACTAGGGCAGGACTCGTACCTGCGAAAACAGTGGCACTGTACTTTGTTGCACTTCGTTATTATCGTTGAAGATTGAATTGAAAAAATTGAGAAAATGTTGATAGACTGAAAAATTCTGGCCCGGCGTAAACTCAAAACGAGGTCGAGTGTTTTGGAGGCTAAGAAGGTAAAGCGAAACAGTTGGTGATGTGAAGAGGGGCAAAGGTGTTCGAGTAAAGCCCAAGATGTTCTGAAATGGCAAAGCAGCCGCCCCCAATTTTACAGAGAAAGGTAGGTAAAGATATATTTTATTCAAGGACGAAGATTGGGTTTCGATTGAAAATTTTAACGAATCTTACTATTTGTTTCTTTGAGTTAACCCTGGTTCTCATGCAAAAGGTGTTTCTGATTCCGTAGTGTCAAATATCCATTGTGTAACCAGGATCAGCGCCTTTCATGACAGCATATTGTCGAATTTTTGGATAATTTGATCGGTTTGAGTCTTTTCAAGGTCCTATGTCCTTATCTGTTATATCAAGAGAATTGTTTATAAATATTAACAGATCACGACCTTATTAGACTAGTTTCATGATGTAAATATTGTGGCAAATCCATCATGCCTCATTTCTGTGTAAGCCAATTTTTTCAATGTTTAATTCCGAATAGTGTGTTTTTTTAAACAAAATACACAAAGTTGCATCTATTGTATTCTTGTGGAAGATGATATATTGACGGCCATTATATCAATATATGAATTATGCAAGAATGTTAAGTAAATTATAAGACGTATACTGTATATCTGCATTCTAGATGTTGCTAAGAAAATTTTTTAATCAAGTTATACAGTTATTACTTGCTAAATGTTTTATCGAATTATAGACCTGTACATTTATTGAGCTCTGATTTCATTTCTAGTCCAAGCTTGAGGCACATTTGAAAAATGTCTTAAATGAACAAAAATCAAAACTCCAGCAAAAGCAGCAATTGGAACATGAGCTTCTTGAAGATATTAAGTAAGTTGATTTATGATTATTTTGCAGAAAAAGGAATGATTGTTTAAATAAGTAGGGAAAATTGATTTTGCTAGCTGTAGAACAGACTGCATGAAAGCTGCTACTCCAACTATATGTGTTTTGAAATAAGACAGTGTTGGGTATACAGTGAATTTTCATTCCATATAAAACAATAACAATACTTTAAAGGCAATCTGTCTTGTTGTGGATTGGTTAACGAGAACAATAGATGGAACAATAGCCTAAACATGATTCCAGCGCTCCGCCATATTTTTTACAATGCGATAAATTAAAGGGGGACTGGAAACAATAAAAAATCCCTTTGTTCTTATAATCAATCAACGTCGTGACAGATTGCCTTTAAGCTACAAACTACAATAAGCTACAATAATCAGCATTAACAAATGAATTAATACTTAGTACAATATTGTTATAATTGGCAAACTAAAGTACTGTTCATAGCAGTTTATAGTTCTGTATTTGCAGCAGGTATCAAGTTCCAACAGCAGACAAGTCAGTAAATGCTGCACTTTTAACAATCTACCCATTTATTAGGCATTTGTAAATCAACATACCCTGGTGTCTATTTTCAAGGGAAAACATTACAGGGAATCTTTGTAGATAAGAAATTATATTGACTTCGGTTTCAAAGAATTTGTAAAATAATTTCTATGATCCTATTTATGTTTATGCATATCAATAACATTGTAGTATCAAGTTCAGAGGATTATTTGCAGGCAGGGCCTATTTGGAAAATACTTGAATCCCTGATGCTCTTTTAACCATGAAGTTTTCATCAAAGGATACAGATTAGGACTTTGGTTGGGTTGAATAAAACATATTTAGTTGATATTTACTCTCTCTTTTCAAGAAACTATAGCAAAACTCGGGCAGCAATAGAAAAAGAATATGGACAGGTAACTTATTCTTTTCTTTGCTTTCATCTCATAATGCCAGAAAGTGGCCATTTAAACTAATTTTTAATAATATATCTTACAAAACAGCTTTTTACATCCTGTCTTCAATCTATCAGCTAGTTATGATGGATGTTAAAGCTCAATTGTGGATGTAATACTTCCTGTTTCCTGGATAATGTTTCATAACTTAGGATTCATGTGACTTCTAAGGGGTCATGCCACAGGGGATGTGGGCAACTTAATGGCTGCTATTAGTAGACTTGAAAATAATTACATGAAAACATAATCAAAGAAATGATTTGATAGCTAATACTGCAGATAAATTATAACCAGATAAATTGTTTTTTTGCATATTGGCTCAATGACTAAATCTGAGCAATATTTAAAGTAGCCTTACACAGCTCTTCCCTTGCCAAGATACTAGTTTAATAGATACACAATTATTCAGCATTGATTATGGTAATTTCCAAATGTTTTACAGGCATTGCAAAGATTAGCTGCACAATTTTCAGCAAAGTTTATGCCCAAAGATAATGAATCCAGTGACACAAAGACATTAGCCAGGTTTGTATAAATTGTTGTAAATAAGCATTTAAAGACAAGGTAAATTTCATACAACTTTATCAGAACTATCCTACCACAACTTTATCAAAAGTATTTACTACCACTGCTATTTTGTTTGCTTGAGATATGTTTCATCTCCAAAAGGGAATCAATCCCATTGGTTCACAAGAGTGGCCCATCTTTAGCTTTTTAGTAAATACTAGGTGTTTTATCATAGCTGTCTCTTCATTTTGTTTTTAGTTCGGTACAACGTTGATAATTTTTTTGTTTCTCCTATTCTAGAACTCCGTTTGGATTATGGAGAAAAATTCTAGAAGAAACAGATGCAACTGCAAATTCAAGGCTTGCCATGTCACAAAACATTTTAGCAAATATTACAGAAAATGCAAAGACTGTCAAGGCTGCAAGAACAGTTACTACAAAAAATGTAAGTCCCTATATTTTATAAAAAGTATGTTTCCAAAATATGTTATTAAACTAAAAATTGCTGTTTATACTTGTTTATCAGAACTAGAAATACTGTTATTTTTGCTAGCTTTATGTTTCATAAAATTGGAAAACTTTTCCTGTATTTATATCACTGTTTTGGGTCCAGATGAATTGCCAATTTTTCATTTCATCACAGTGCAACCTGTTGGCTGACAAGCTACAAGAGGAGCTTCAAGAATCAGTACAAGAGTTATCAAAAGTAAGTGGTCTAATAGACACCTTAATTGCTGATTATATCAGAAATTGGAAGTACGAAAGGTGTTTCTATACTTTTCTTGACATGTTGTTGAAATATTCAAATGTATCATCACTAATTTAAAAGTCTCATGGCAAGAAGCACTGAATGATAGTACTTTTCTGGTAGGGCCTGCAAGGAGTCTTGCAGCTCAAGTTTTTCTTGAGTGTTATGCAGGGAAAGCAGAAGGGGTGGGTTAAGGAGGCTATAGTCCCCCCCAAATAATTTCTTGCTTTTTGCTCATGATTTTTAGCATCTTTAGTCCCCAAAAACGTTTTAGCTTCCTCAATCGGTAATATGCTCTACAATCCTCGGTAGATTTTTTAGATAGGCTGCACAACATTTTGTTGACCATCACATTTACCTAGTGAAAGAATGCAGGAGAACACATGGTTGCTGCCTTGACTTGATGTCTCTACAAAGCTTACAGAAATATGCAGTTGTACCGTTAGCTTTTGCTTTATTGAGAAAACTTCTAAAGATTATGTAAGGAAACTGCATGTGAGAAGATTGAAACACCATTTTACTGGGTTTGCACTCTTATGCACCAATTATATTGTTTAATCATAGGTTTTTCATCCAAAAGCTTAATATTCGTTTCTGTATGAGCTATATCTGTTGGGTTCCACTTTCAAATCCAAATGTGGTATTGGCTGTTCATTACTAGATGTTGATAGATGTTCATTACCATTATTGATGGTTTGTTTTCAAAAATCCAGAGATTTACTGGAGGAGGATGCTATTTACCAACAGTCTATATTCAAAGGTACATTCCCAGTATGAAGGGTTGGTTGGGTAAAAAAAACACTTCTTTAACTGAGTAGCTATTTTGCCAATGCTTGAATAATATCGTTGCAAATGCTTGATATAAACCTTTTGTATTGTATTTATTTTATGATGTTTATCTGAATTTTAGAGTCATAAAACATACTCTGATCTGCATAAGTTAGCAGTGCAAACAAGGGGTCAAGCTGAAGATGCAAATGAGAAGTGAGCTCACATTAATTGCTTATTTATTGATACAATAATTGCTTATTTCATGTTAACTTTATCTCTTACAGTGAAGAATAAGTTGATAGCACCTTTATTCATATCATTCTCAGTGTCCTTCACTCCAAACATTCTACAATAAGCCTTGAGGATAACATTGATTATTCTTAGATTTAATCAGACCTTGCTCTAAGCAAAATTGAGGTGCTCTATAAAAAGAGCCCCTTAGAAACTCTAGGCATTCTATTTCGCACCTCTAAATGAAATTTCCTTGAGAGCATCCTCTAGATATGTAAGTTGCCATCATTCTTGAGCTTTTATCACTGTCAGTATCACTACTCTTATGTTCAGCTTCACATATTGTTTCATCAAAATGCATAGCTTTAAGTCGAACAATTAACTTTGTTTCCTTTTTTTATGTTATCAATTCTATAAGAAACGCTAGAACATCTACTACTCGCAAAAGCAAATGAAAACTGAAAAGCAATGCGATAATTTGGGCAGAAATCTGATTGCTGATTTGCACAAGGATTTGTAGTTATTAAGAAAAAACAGAAAATAATACTTCAAAAGAAGATTAATGCTTGCTCGAAAATCAAATAAAGCTTCTGGAGAAGAGGCCTGATCGCCTGTGTCCTTGGTGGCTATTAGAGGGTTTTTAGATTAAAAATGGTATCAAAAACCCAACATTGAATTTGCTGAATTTTTTTCTCTAGGGGTAATCCTATGCAAATCATAATATTGTCGTCTGTTAGGAAGATTGTTTATGCTTGATCAAGTTTATTCAACAAATGTCAACAATTTATTTTGCTCCGTGTTAGTATTGTTTTTACGTTTTGAAGGGCTATATAAATCGCTCTCCAGGGCTTTTTTGGGCACGCTCTAGGCATGCGGCTTTCCGGGCAAGGCCTGTTTTATAAGCCTTTATTAATCCTAATTTTTTTAATTGAACCATTATATGTTTTACTGTGCAGCTTCTCTCTGAAAACCTCAGAAACTAGACTAGAAACTAGAAAATTTTGTAACATTTTTATTTTCAGTCTGGTTTCCTTTCTTTTAGTTATTTTGAACATTGTATTTTTTGCTTTTTCTTGTCATATTTGAAAGGAACTTCCAAATGTTGTGTACGCTTAACATTAAGATACTGCCTTTGATACAATGCCCTATGTAGCGTTATGATACAAAGTTGTTAAGAGGAACTACCTGCTCCTCTGAGCCTGCTTCAGTGTTTAGAATGACCCTTAATTCTTGTTTATTCCAACCTCAGTATATTTTCTGTGAAATTAAGGCTTTCTTTATGTTACAGTAAAGACTCAATAAAATAAGCTTGATTTAAGAAATTTCAACCTTAAGCTAGCAAGGTGTATGTTTAAAGCTTTTAATTGAACACCAGCCAACCAAGGGTAAAAATTTTTTTGGAAAAGGGTATCCTTAAAATGCTGTAGCCAGTGAGTATCTAAGAATTCAAAAGATTATTTGATGCTCCTGTTCCATTTTTTGCTAGAGCTTTATCTGTGATTTATTTGTGTTGATGTGTGCAATAATTTCATTAAATTTGTGTTTGCTATAGACTGTGAAAATTTCAAACCTTGCTATTTTTCTGTAGTTCATTTAAATCAAACAAATATTTTTCGTAAATCTCTTTCATTTGAAAATAAAGAGCTCTTTGTAGTTCTGTAAATAGCTAGGTAGCTGGTGAAAACTTTTCATTCACTCAATCTCTTAATGTAATTATTCAAACTAATAGATTTCTTTTTATCTCAATTTTTAGACTTAAGAAAGGACAGATTAAATTTTTTCAGTCAAAGGCCAAAGCCGAGAAGAATGTTCAGAAAGTGAGAATTTTTCCAGATGCTTTAACTCTTGTGTCCACATACATAAGTGCTCGTTATTTATGTCTTTGTTCATATCCATTGACAGTTGATTAGAACAACCCGTTTATTGGTTTATGCATTTTTATTACAAACAGCATGTAGTCTTTTATAAACAGCTTGTTCTTGAAACCACGACGCTCAAGGTGCTTAATTTCAAATTGAATTATACATTTAAGAATCATGTAACCGGGAATAAGCCTAGAACCGGGCGCTGTTTTCAGTTCCGGACTCACAGATTACTTTTCTCATGAGATTCGTTTCACGCTGCTTTATATTTGAAGGCTTAGTACAACAATTTTTTCTTTGAAACCGGAAAGCATTGTTTTTTATTGTTGAGTTGTACTTTTTAATTTGACCACCACTCCTGAGGGAGGCTGAGCAGCGAAAATGCATGGAAATCTTCACAGTGGCATGTTATCAATATAAAATAAGTTCCTTATTTTATCTTGATGTTATGGAATGTGAAGTTGAGGGCCAGGGGTATATCCCATTCTATCTGGGGTTAGATTACTGAGGTTCTATGAAACTGCAGCCCTATACGGAAAGGAAAATAATCCAGTGTAAATGTATCCGGTACTGTGTAACTGGACCTAAGCTGTACATGAAAGTCCACATATTTCCATTAGGGGTCGTTACCGACACACAGGGTTTTTTAACTGTAAACCTTCGAATTTCTAGACACAAACCAGCAAGATCTTTATGTTTTTCTGATTTGCTGCTATGATTTTTCCTAAATATACTAGCGTGCGTGCTGTACAATATAATATGATATAGCTAGGAATTTGAGTAAAATCCATGTTATTTTATGATTTTTCCCTACTCATATGCCAGATTTGTCTGCAAAATAAACCGAAGTTTTATATTATCAAAATAATATCTTTTTCAACTCGTTGTGTTTCTCTGTTAGATCCAGGAAAGAAAGGAACTATGCGAGAAACGTGTAACTGTTACAAGAAACGACTATCTATTAGATTTAGCTGCTGTTAACGCCCATTGCCAAAGATATTATTCTACGGATCTACCGGAGCTGATTGCTGTGAGTTCATAACTTTCATCTTCCTTATTGATTCGCTGTTTGTTAATTTAAATTATTCATTTTAGATGTCCAACCGATTATAGCAATAATACACTCTTGCTTATAAGAATATTTTTTTTAAGAATTATCAAGCTCAGAATCGTCCAACTTTTAAGAGTATTAAAGGAATATTGCTCAGCTTCAGCTCACATATTTATGTCCCATTTTTCAGCAGTTGCCTGTTCTGCGTGTTTATAAGGGAGAATCGCACGATGAACTTTTATCTTCTTTCCAAAAAGAGTGTTTCAATTTGAGGGCCGGCGATGTTTCCCTGAAACTATATCTGATTGAATCAAACAAGAATACTTTAGTTAGTTCAGGCTCAAAGCGCAAATTTCTTCGGAATTTCGAAGCTGGGCAAAATTATAGTATTCTGTTAAAAAAGTAGCTATGTTTGCCAATATTCTAACGATCATCTTTTGGATTGAAGATGAAAAATTCGGTAAGAGCTCGAAAATTTCTTGACTCCTCGGCAGCAAATTTTGATAAGGTCTTTTACAATGTCGTCTAACGATTTTTCCTTGCAATGTTCTTTTAAAAATAATGATAATAATAATGCCTCCTGCTGATTGTTTTTACACAGTTGCAAGATGGGAATATATACGAAAAATTTAAAGATTATTTCAAAACATTGACGACTCTCGAAGTGGAAACCTGTTCGCGAAGCGAGAAAGGGATGCGGGAACTGCGCGAGGAAGCTACACAGGTGTGTTTAATTGGCAGCCTCTTGTTGAAGCTTATTGTTGACTGATGCAGCCTCTTGTTGACTGATGCAGTCTTTTGTTGGCTGATGTGGACCTGCATGCTAAAAATCAAGCCATAAATCACCGTATCCCTAATACTTAATACAAAACCCCAATCCTCGAAAAGGCCATATTTAAATCCTAGTTTTAACACAATATACAGTAGGTTCCCGCGTATAAGAAACCCCCTTGTATAAGAAACCAGCCTCAAATTCTTTCGAAAGGGCTCCTTTTATAAGAACCAATTTTAGGTCCGAAATCGAAATGTTTCTTATTTTCAGATCCGTCATACTTTATTCCTCTATGCCAAAAAATAATCCCCTAAATTTTGTAATGCAATGTAGTGTTCTCAAACAGAATCAAAATTATTAAAAGTAAAGATTTGTTTTTTTATAACAAGTACTGTACCGAAAAATACTGTAACAGTTCATGCTTCTTTTAATAATAAATAACATAATTTGGCATAATTCAGCTTAGTTGCTTATTTAAAAAATGTGTAACCTATATATAAGAAACTTTTACCCTGATTATAAAAAGGTAGCTTAAAATAAGAAACGTTCTGAGGCCTCAATTTAGAAAGTGGTTTTTTATTTGCGGGAACCTACTGTATTGAAATTCTACAAGATCTAAAATTAGTAATATAAAAAAGTCTCGATATCTTCATTCCTCTTCTCATACTAAACAAAATTTGTTCTATAGTTTACAATTCTTGGCTAGTGATTTTTAGTTTTTGCTCGATATTCCGCACTCTTTGAGACTTTATTCAATTTCTTTTCCAGTGTCGATCCCCTATATTAAATCGTATTTTGGTTTCTGCAGACTTAAACCTTTTTATTTCTTTTTAGTTTATAATCGTTGATAAATATTGTTCTCCTGCTGATAAAATTGTTCTACTTTCTGGCCAATTCGAAGATATGACCTTGTAATATTTCATTACTGCATATGAGTGCATATTTTATCATATTTAGCATCATTAGCATACATTACGGTTTGTTTTCCAGCTTCAAAGAGCCCACGCCATGCAACTCTTCCTTCGCCTAAATCCGGTTTTTACGAAATGTTTAAGTTACGAATTTCAATCCTCTCAAGGCGACAAAGTAAGCTTTTTTTCGTATTATTTCTTCCATTTGGATTGATATCAAATACTGTCATAATTCTTTTACCGTTTGAAATTGTTCTTGGTAGATGTGATGGACCAGTCAAGGCAAAATTTTTGAAATAGAGAATGTTTACAGGGCTCTATTTTTGCTGCTTTTGTTTCATAATATTTTAATAAGCTTCAAACTATCTTGAAAATTCGTGGTTCATATACTTTCACGGAAAATTTTTATGTTTTCTTAATACGCTTAAAGTCAATGAAAGAAGCTAATATCTCAATATGATTCGAAGTTTTGAATTGAATTATTATATCGGTTTCAGTTTCTGAATTAAAGTCTGTTTTGCAAACATGTTTTGCACAGGGCTGCAAAAATCAGCTTCACTCAAAGCATCAAGGAGACTTCAGCTCCACCTGCTTTTATTCCAGCCACACCTCGCTGCACATCGAAAATCCTTCACAGGGTTGACAGTTTTGTTTATCCAGGCCAAACTTTGTTTTTGGCCTACTACATAAATTTGGACTTTTTGGCTTTTTAAGCAGAAATTTTGAGGACATTTCTTGTTTTGATATAAACTTTAAAACTTTAAGTAACAAACAAATCTTAAATTGAAAGAGCAATAATACACAGTTTAAACCCAAATGCCATTTAATCACTTAACATGGGGATTAGCAAAATAATATTTTGGAAGGCTTTGTTTTCAGTTTCTTGTTTCACATTGGAAAGTTATTTAAAAGATGCATGCATATAAATTTTATACTACGCTTATCCAGTGCAAGTTTAGGAATGGTTTTTTGGCCTTTATACTCACTTCTGCTGAGTTCGACACCCATCTGGTTTTCTTTTTAAAACCCATAACCAATACCCTCTAGTTTTACATGTTTCACATTTTCACTTTTCTGATATTTGTGTCTTCCACTATTAATTGACAAGACTTCGTTACGTCAATTAGGTGAAATCACTATCAGAAGACTTCACGGCTGGTCATCATTTGAACAAAGAGGCGCGCAAATGGACGCTGAGACTGGCAAAGGCACTGAAAACGATAAGGAAAAAGTCGACCGCCCTGCAAGCACTGGAAAGAGCCAGTGTTGAGTCAGATAAGGTACGTCTTGTGATAGATAAACACCTAATAGTAGCATCGATTCTCTTCAAACGTAAGTTGTCTTGATTATGCGACGCTTACCAGCAGAGCAGTATTCAATGTTTTTATGAGCTTTCTAATAAAAAATACGCTTGGCGAAAAAGCTGACTGCGCTTAGATATTTCCAGTCTTGAGTTTTGGCTATGACCGTAAAAACAGAACAAGACTAGACGAATTTTCCCATTTATTTTTCCAAACCATTGCGAGGATGCCATCGTCCTACACATCTTGTCTTTGCCAAAAAATCCTCTTTCCGCAACAAAATTCTCTCTTATTTTGTCCTAAAATGTACTTTCTTTTGTTGGTTTTGACACCAGTGTCGTAATTGCTTCTTTATGTGCCCTAGTTTAAAATTTTATGTGCCCTCAGATTGTAGTCTGAGAGAAAGCCTTGGCAATTTAGTAACCCGTTTTGCAGTAATATTGTCATCCCGACCATTTTGATACTTTCCTGTCTGTTATTGATTTTGACTGATTTCTGATTTTGTGCATACAAGGTGAGCCAGGCTGATGGTATACCTGTTGAACAAAGCAGAGATGCCATAATGGAAGATATTCGGCACGCAGAGGTAAAAATGCAGCCAACAGCAATTTGACTGTATCTTATCTTTAATTGATTCCAAGCTCATATCGTCTATTTCCTATATCCACTGCTGACATCTGAGTGGCTAATGACCATTTGTTTCCAGGCTTTTCTTTTCCTCGTATCTTATTCTTTAATCATTGCCAAATAAACACCCGAACTTTTTCTCAAGATTTTGCATGGGATTAAGAAATCCTTTGCGGGAGTACTGGCCATTGGCATCATTCGGGGGGCAACATCTTCTTGCATAAATCTGTGGGTTAATTGCACACTCATACGATTTCGCCTCTCCCATTTTCGGGAAGGGGTTTTTTCCTGTAATGTATACCCTAATCTTTAGAAATATTGACACAAATGCTCTTATCTGGCCTGGCTTTTTGAATTTTACATTAATATTAATCTGAAAAGGAAATTGCTGGTTTTCTTTCGAAAGTATCTATAATTTTGTTTGTAGTTTCAAATTATGGTTTTAATTTTAATTTAATACACCTCGTTAATCTGTGTTTGTAGATTATTAAGATCAAGGCTGAAGCAAGGATAGACATCTTACGAGAAGCAGGAAGTAAGTAGATTTTATCAATAAAAAGCTCAAGCTGGCTGGTTCATAAAACAATTCCTAGAAACGAAATTACGAGAAAGAAATCAGCTGATTTTTGTTGCAATAACATTTTGGACTCTTCCCAATGCAATGGAGTCAAAATAATTTGTTTTACTTTGGCAATGGAAGTTAACATATTTACAGCTAATAGTCAAATTAACACGAAAGAAATAAGTAAAAGCTTAATTTACGAATTTTTTAACTACAAGTATCCTAAAAACCTATAAGAATTCTAAACCTTTAATGATAACTTTGCAGAATTCTTGTAGTGCTTGACTCGAGCTTTGCTTACGTTGTTGTCATTTTTAGTCAATGTGGACGAGTGGCTCCAGAGTGCAAGTGCTGAAAACGGTGACGACGCTGAAGAGGAGAACGAAAACGACGACCAAGGTCAGTGTTCACCCCTATCTAATTTCGTTTACATCTAACGTCTAACAACATTTAAATTGATACGCATTGTGTGTAATAAGTATGTGTGAATACAGTGCTCGTTTATAGGGATGTTAAAATAGGGTTATGTGAAAGTCAATTTTTGTGAAGGCAAATAAGTTAGTGATGAGGTAAAAGAATTGTATTTCGAATAATCTGTTCGCTGCATTTTATAATCCAGTTTAACAGTATGATGGAGGGTAAAATTGTTATCGTCAGGTTATTCCCTTTCTTCGTTGCTTGCGTCATAAATTCATCTTCAAAATTATGCCATTACACTCATCAACATTAGGTACACACTGAAAGATTGACATTTGTAAAAAAACTCCATTTGGAGTAAAATTAGTATTCAGAGGTTGAAAACTGAGCAAAATTAAGCTATATATACATGAATCTTTTGGATTTTCATGGTTATTGAGAAATCTATAATTTTTTCAAACCATTTGGAAGTATAAAGGAACTCTCGATTTCAGATCACTAATTTCTGACTGAATTAACTACCTAGAAACTACTCTAACAAAACTTCTTTGGGTTTTATCTTTGTTAAGCACTTTTATCCTTTCTTCTCTTCAAGTGGGGATCCTCTATTCATCATTTTGACAGGACTCCCTCGGTGCTGTTTGTATAAGATCTTTGACTAAGTTGTTAGCTTTTGAGTTAAGTGTTTATCTCATACCTGAAGCACAGTTTTAATACTATCTTATGGATATGATTTTTCCCCTTAAGATAATGATCAAAGTGATTTTGATGATGAAATCGATGATTGGGATGATTTAGAAGAACCGGATTTCTCTGACGATGAAGTTTCATCAAATTCAATTCCAAGCCATAAGGTCCTACAGGCCGTAGCCCTTTATTCATTTCAGGTTGGTTTCTGTTTTTTTTCGATATATTTTTCTTATACTTTTAGGCTTGATAACTGACATTTAAAGGTAATGTGTCCATATAAAAGGACTGCGTATACCCAACTTGTCAAGCCACCCATCAAAATAACGGTTTGCGATTGGTTAGTATTCTTGCGATGCAAAACTGCTCACATGAAAAGCTAACCTCGCAGCAGGATAGATAAACAGAACGACCGTAATGGCTGAGGCGATGACATGAAAATCACATGTTCGCTTGCTTTAGCTGGACACATTACCTTTAATTGGCTAAAGTTACATAAGTGTTCAAACCCTTCAAGTTTAGAGCTGTTTGAATGAATGAAGAATTGTGGCTATCTAGTTAATTCCTTGCGCCATATAGTTGTTAGTATCCAAGTTAGATTTGGTTGTGAAAATGTCTTAGCACCCCGTTTTGGACTTTTGGAAATATCTTTCTTTGTCTATATTAGCAATTGAAACATAATGTATGAACTGATGAACTTAGCAAATTTAGCTGCTTATTCGGTTTAGCCCTTGAATCCATAATATTCTTATTGAATTTGTTTACTAAATGTTTGTAGAATTTGCCATGTATTTTTTCAGTCTCGTTTTTCCTGCTTTTCTGTACAAGTTTCCAAAAATGTAAAGCCTTAAAGGGTAGTGTCATGACTATAATGTAGATATTCCCGAATTTACCAACATTTTCTATCAAAAGCCCTTGTGCAGAACTTGTTTGGAAAATTCGCAGAGAACATCAATTAAGGTGAAAAAATCTACACAATCTTTTGATGTTTGGTACTGTCTTAAAGAAGACCCTCCCTCATGTGTTGCCCATCACTTGAAGGCTCGCACTGGTTTTTAAATGTTCACCTTTCTATCTTAGGCTGCTTCGAACGAAGAGTTGTCAATCACTGAAAATGAGGAATTGGAAATTATAGAGACTGATGTCGATGGCTGGTGTAAGGTGAGTTTAGCCTAATATCCAGACCTCGTGTTTAGCTCAAAGGCAATCTTATTCTCAGATTGATGCAGCTCTGTTTGAAGTCAAAACGAAACCCCGGTTCTTGTTTTCACTTCTATAGCTTCCATTATATCGAGTCTTATCTGCGGTTTTTATATTTGTGCTGTTAATTAAGTTTTTTTATCAAAAATATGTCTGTTCTAGGGCCGGAACAAGAATGGGCGTTGTGGATACCTGCCAGAAGCTTACGTTGAAATCTGGAAGGAAACCTCGCGAAATCCTTCTGCTAATAGTTCCGGATCCGGATCAACATCTTCCGGTAAAAAACCGGTCATTGCTCCCAAGCCTTCGCTTGAGCCGGCTAAACCAGCAAATGAACCAGCAGCACGTAAGTCTTCGAATGTTTCTTAGTTAGGAATTTTAGAAAAAAGTATTTGTGAAACCTTATTTTTCAACACATTCAGTCTAAAATGCTTTGTAAATTGCAATTAAATGGCAAGTATTTTCGGTGACTTTGATGGTGGCGACTCCTTCTGCGTTGTACGCCTGGATTAGCATCATATAATGTTTGATTCTGAATACGAAGGACGGTATGTTAAGAAGAAATGCTCTTTGACTCTCTGTATTTTATCTAATCTTAAGTTTTTGTATCAAAGGACGTGGCTACAAGGTTCAACTCAGAAATAGTTGTAAAATGATTGATAAAGCTAATGTTAGGCTTTATGTTAGGAATGCTACTCGTTTCGTAATTTTTGCTTTCAATCAAATCTTTTGATGAGTTGATAATAATTCATCTGTAGCTGCCTCATGGAGCTTCCAGACGAAGTCTTTTGCTTAAAAAGTATCTCATTTTACATTCTAACTGGCTTAAATTACAATGAATTTGTTTTATCTAGTCAGACAAAGATATATAAACTATATTTTCTTTTAAAGTTTTTGTGGCAAAAGCGCTGTACGATTACGCAGCTATGGAGGAAGAAGAACTCTCCTTTAAAGAAGGCGACGAGATTAATGTAACTAGCACCGACAACAATGGCGTGGATGATGGATGGTGGGAAGGATATGTGAACGGGAGGAAGGGTGTCTTCCCTAGCATTGTTGTCGAGAGAATAAAGGATGCCAGACCTGTCAATCAAACTTTGTACTCCTCAGACAGAAGGAGGTTGAATACAGACTCATTTGCAGCGGTGCAGAAAAGAAAACGAAAAGTGGAGCGAACAATAAGCGAGTCATGAGGCTTGGTATAAAGGTATGTTCGTATGCCCCTCTAAGGGCATATTAATTCAGGAAATGGGGGCTGATAGAGGGGGGCTTCTGTGATTTCTTACTAAGAAAGCTTTTTCTTTAAGATTTGTTCGCATAAAAATTTTCACTTAAGTAAGATGACTGAAATGACATGTAGTTTTAAGGATCACAGTTGCCTTTGTATGCAATTTTGCACTAATGAAAATTCTTTTCTAGTTATCACATTCTATGTTTTAACTTTCTTCTCTTTCCATAAATTTGATTTTTACTGGATATCAAAGATTTGCAGCTAGACTTACTCCACGAGCCTCTGTTTCGCTACTGCCTCATTTGACTGACGCTACAACAGACATGTTAAAGCGTCAGTTAAGTGAGGCAGTAGCGAAACAGAGGCTCATGGAGTAAGTCTAGTTTGCAGCTAGATTTAAAGGTTGGTTGTACTTGGCAGTTGCAACATAGAGCTGTATTTTGCACCAATCAGGAAACGCTCAGCAAACTTCATGTTTGTGTTGAAATGTTTACTTAAAAATGCCAGGCAAGTTCTCGTTTACATGCTAAAGCTGTTTATCTTTTTCAGAAGCTGAAACACTATGAAGATTTATATGGGATCACGAGGGGGTTCGTGTTTGGGACAAATTGGCAAGAAAGGCTGTTAAAAATTACTACATTTTTGGAGGATGCAAGCATATTGTAATGTATAGTATTTCTTGAAATATATGATAAACTGTGGAAATCGGTGTTACAAATGAAGTCTAATTTAATTCTTGTTATCAAATCGTATAACTGATTTTTTAATTGCACTATACAAGTAGAAATCTATTAATGACGAATATTTAGTAGAGAGAGTTTTATTGTAAAATATCTCTCAAGGTCATCATATGGTTTTGTTCGTGGCATGTTTATTGTTTTTATATCTGTTGCTTCTGACCTTAGTATAAAAAAATGGGACGAGCCCAATGCTTTGACCGCAGAAATGACATTGAATTTGTTATTTTATTAAATTTAAAATCGCTTTGGAGTGATGCAAGCATTTTAAAACATACTTGTAAACACATACATACTTATTATAGAAATCTCTACGGGAGGAAATATTTCATCCTATTCGTGGATCGAAATAGGCCGACCAGAAATGGAAGAACGTGACTTTGAAAGTTGTCCTGTCGGTGCAGCTTGTCTTTTAAAGATATTGCCATTAGAATCAAAGTTTCAAAATGAACTCCTACTGTCTACACAATAGAGGATTTTCCATTTAATGTAGGTGGATTCCAAAGCAGCTAGCTTGAACAGCGATAAGCTCTTCAAATTATTCGAAACATGTTGCCATTGAAAATTTAATTATTGACCATTATTCTGACATTTTATACTTTGAGGAGTTTCAGTCGAAAAAAGCTTGAGTATGTTTTAAAAGGCTTGCTTTTATCGAAGCCATTGTTATTAAATTCAACATACAACTTCAATATTTTGAAAAGTCGTGTATTTGTCTGTTTTCCACTTTTGTTATTAGTTTAAAAACAATATGGATGAAAATGTATAATTTTATCTGATGTAAGAAAACAGTCACAATAAATTACCCCCTCTCTATTAAGGGTGCCTGTAAGGCAAAGGGTAATGCAAAAATTAGCTTTAAAGGATTTGTAAAAGGATTTAAAACGTGGAACTTTGATTATAAACGGTTCTGTAAGTGAAAATGACTCAGAAGGATTGTATCGTCAAGGTCATTGAACGACTGCTGCAGTTAGGGTGAGAATTTCATCTTTTCTCGATTCTTAATCTTTAGTGGAGGAGGTCAAGCCAGTGACAGCAGAGTGATAGATATTTGACAACCCGTGAATTATTTCGACTAAAATAAGGGTTCCTTATAAATGTTCAAAGAAACTGGGCCTTAAAGTCATTAAACTTTGATAACAAAACAATAATTGATACATTATGCATAGTATCTTATAGCTGTAAAAATAAATGATATAGAATATAGGTGAGGCATATTATTTTTCACTTAATGATCCACTCGGTCTGGGTATGTAGTTCTGAAGTGATGACGTCACAAAAATTTATTTTTAGAATTTTGAATTTGGATCCCATAACCTTAAAGAGCCTCATGAAATACTTCTAAACGCGCAAAATCAGTCAATTGTATTAAGAATTGGCAGAGATATAGCCACATGTGTATTGGATCTTTCCCTATCAAACCTTTGTTCATAACAGTGATTCGTTAGCAAACTTCAAATCTTTCATTGCCCATATCTCAACCGACTTTAGACATATTTGACCAATTTTGCATATTTGAAAGTATTTCATGGTTATATTTTGTGTTTTGTGGTTTAAATTCTAAAATTTTAATTTCAAAAATTCTAAAAATAGGTTTTGGTGGCGTCACATAGGACATTAGAGATCATATGAATTTTGTAGCAGTCACATTGGCTGAAAACTTACAGACAATAAAATGAGAAAGGTTGTCACTTTCCTTGACTCAGTAAAGATTGCTGTCAAGAACGGGGTGGAAGTGCAACTTCAATATGATTAAACTTCTGCATGATGACAAATGAAATCAAGATTTGACTAGGCCATGTTAGCACAAGTTCAAGGACCAGCAAGACCTGGAGACGCTTGGAAAGCATTTTGTTCATTGTGATAGTTATGGGGTTAACAGAGAAGACGACATGTTTGGAAAGGCAGGGTTACAGTTGGGAGACAATACCTTAAAGAAATTTATACCATTATTAGAGTCACCCCTTATTTAACAAATATATTTCATTCTAATTACATGAGAGCTCTTTGTTTTTCAAGTTGCCAAATTATTTTTAAGAGACAAGTTATGTCTGTGAAAGAAGAATTATTTTTTTCAGCTTAATCGCTGTTATTTTGTTTTGAGCAGGTTTAGAATTCACAGGTACTTAGGATAAAATAACCTGTGTTCCGAAACCAAGCCACTAGATCTATTTACTTGGTTTGAGGGGCAAGAGTTAACATGAAAACTTAGAAGAATACATTTCTACCTTTGCAGGATCGTTCTTTCCTTTATACCAAATCTAAATATCATCTTGCAAAATCAGTTTATTTAAGACGATTTATCTACTAACCTTCTTAATTTATGAAAAGGGAATTTGACATCAAATTGAATATACACACTCCCCTCCCTAACGGTCGGTTAAAACTATTGGCCTACATAAGTTTCCTGCATGTAAGAAACACAGACACTGATTTTCAAAAAAAACTTCTTTGATAAGAAACTGGTGAAGGCCTGAAAAATGTTTGTTTCTTATTCAAAAATTTTCATATAACTTGATCCTTTGAAAAACAGAACAAAACATTAATCATTCTACACTTACTACTCTGTCAGTTACTTGAATAAAAGGATAAGTGAGGGTTTACAATCATTGACCATAAGAATTGTTTGTTCTCAGCTTTCTAGTTTAATCAAACTGAGCCTGGTCAAATGAAAAAGGAATTTTGAATGCAAACTAAGCAAAAAGCACTTTTCTGGAATAATTATGGCTTTTCCTACAAGTGAAAAATTACAAATACAACTCAAAATATTATGGTATTTTTATCACAGTAATTGAGCTTGTATCTGAGTAGATGATCAATAGTATAATATGGTTTTTCGTATAAGAAACATTCTCCTGATTTGAAGTGTATATCTCATTTTATCAGAAACGCATCAGACCTGAAATAAAAAAAATTGTTTCCTAAATGCAGGACAGTACTGTCATTTTTACTTACGCCTTTTTTGCGAAAAAGTATAATCAAAGTTTGGCGGGAAAATAGAACAATAGGGCCAGGAATTAAACAAAATCAGCAGACAAGCAAGTAAAAATTCTGTTCTGAGAAAATATGCTAGCAAAATTGTTTTCTAAAGAGGAAAAAATATTTTTTTGTGAGCAATGGTAAAACCACAGAGTATGGAGGATGCGGAGCTAGGGGCCATAAAGTTTTTAAGCCAGGCTGGTCATTCATTAAGTGAAATTGAAAAACAAATGGGCTACACGAAGTCTACAACGATAGAATTTGCAACTTATGTAAAAAAGCAGTTTACCGGAGAAAAAGTTGAGAAAGACAGGTCAAAAAAGGTTTACTTTTGTTTAAAAGAATTATAGCATGGTTTGCGAAGAAACTTCTCTATTAATTTTAAAGGAGTATGTGGGGGTGATGTGGGGTGACTAAACTGCAATCGTTGCAAAAGCTGCAGAATCGAGAAGCTAGAATATTAGTTAAAAGCAGAGTTGATGCGCCTGCCATGCCACTGATTCGCAGTCTGGGTAGGCCAACTATAGATGACATTATTAGAAGTGAAACAGCCACAACAATGTACAAGTCGTTAAATGGGCTCGTCCCAGAGTACCTTTCCAACCTGTTCGAAAAAAATTCGACTCGAATTGTGAGAAAACTGAAAAATACCGATACCGATCTTTCGCTACCCTTAGGGAAAACAAACAATGGGCAGAGACTTATTTCTTTCCGTGGACCAAAGCTTGAAAACAACTGTAACCTGATGCCAAACAGGCACCTTCCCTTGCCACCTTTAAGAGAAGAATCAAAAACCAACTATGAACGACCATTCTTATTTCGTAGTATCTATCTTCTTACTTATTAATGTTTTTCACGGCCCCCTGAAAAGCAGTGCTCGTGGACTAACGGGGCTACAGTGCCTAAAAAATTAAAAATGTAATGTAATGTAAAAATTTGCAGAGGTCATTTCCTGGCTGGCCCTGTGCAACCCTTTTGTTATGTGAGTACCCCCACAAAATATTGAAGTTATTCCATGAATAAAATGAACTATGGACTTCAGTTTAAAAATTAATGTTATTTAAACTTTGTTTTACGATTGACTGAAATTTTGAAGTGATTCTTATCATCATTCTATAAATATAGGCAATCTAAAATGACTCCTTTTATTACAATCCTTTGGATCAAAGCCTATTGCAAAAATATATTCTAACCAAACAAAAACTATGCCCCTCTGGGAAACTTTTTCTAATACGAACCTGAAACGTGGCAACTCCTATAAATTTCTCACCAGAACGAGGTTGCAATAAAAAATTGCTCTTTGTTGCTTGTAAAACCAAAAAACATTGTTGCATCTATACTCGTCTTGTACACTCCCCTCCCAAAAGTATTCGAACGGAAGCCAATGTTGCGACAGTGGCCGGGCCAAGTTGGTGAAAACAAAATAGAA